CGAGAGCAGGAAGATAAGATTCACAAGTTCCTTATAGGGCTTCGTGATGAGTTTGAGGGACCTCGTTCCCAGATCTTGTCGATGTTGACGCTTCCTTCTCTTTATGAGGTGTATGCGATAATTGAGCAGCATGAGCGTCGCGTCCGTATTACATCACTTCCAGTTGCAGCCTTGACTCCTCCGGTTGATCATATGACCCTTGCAGCTGCTGCAGGGTCTCGTTCAGGATCCTCAATCAGGGGTGGGCAACGCTTGAACCAGTGCCGTTAGGGTGCCCTAGATCAGCGCAAACAGGGGGATTCTCGTCAGTGTGATTATTGTGGCCGACTAGGATATCTCAAGGCTACTTGCTTGAAGCTCCATCCAGAGCTTAAGCCGCCTCCTCGTAGTCGTACTGCTGTTATTGCTGAGGTACCACCATTTACTTCCGCTACTCCTACTACTGCTCCTCCTTGGCAGAGTGATATAAATGTTATTACTTCCCGATTAGATATACTTATGTCCACTCTGACTTCTCAGAGTCCGACTACTGCTACTGCCACCAATACAGATATACCTCATGCCTATCATGCTTGAGCCAGTCTGTCTTCCCTTTGGATGCTGGACTCAGGTGCGAATGATCACATGACAGATGAGGCCCATCACTTCACCAATTTTGACGAGCAGTTATATACACAGGTTCAGTTAGCAGATGGGACACATGCCCCTATTATTAGTAAGGGCACAGTTCGCCTCCCAGATGACTTTACATTACGTTCGATTTTTCATACGCCAAAATTGGCCATGAATCTATTATCTGTACATCAGTTAGCCAGAAATTTTTACTGTGCAATTGTGTTCTTATCTGATTCGTGTTATTTGCAAGACCTAAGTACCAGGAGGATTATTATCAGGGGATATGAGAGAGATGGACTGTATTATCTAAGCAATCCACCTCCGATTTCATCAGTTCCTCCACCTACATCACCTGCACCTACTTTGTTTTTATCTGTTCCTAGCTTGCATGCTAGTATTTTACCTAGTAATTGTCGTTATGATTTTTTGTCACAAACTGTTCAATTGTGGCATGACCGTTTTGGACATACAAATTTTAAATATTTATGTATGTTGTTTCCTGCTTTGAGCAATGCTTGTGTTGGTGATAAATTTGACTATGTTATATGTTCCCTATCAAAAACATGTTAGGACCAGTTATATTTCTCGCATGCACCAGTCACCCAAGCCATTTGACCTAATACACTCTAATATTTGGAGACCCTCTCCTGTTACTGCTCTGTCAGGTGCCCGATACTATGTGACATTTATAGATGACCATACCCGTTGTATTTGGGTCTACCTTTTGCATAGGAAGTCTGATGTACTCCCTATAATCACTCAGTTTCTACAGATGATTAAGACACAATTCGATGTCATTGTCCGTGCTCTTCGTTCAGATAATGCCAAAAAATACGTGTCTGATGTCGTAATTTCTCACCTTTCTTCTCAGGATTTCCTTCAGCAACTCACTTATCCATATACTCCTGAGCAAAATGGCGTTGCTAAAAGAAAAAAATAGGAGTCTGATAAGGATGGTACGTTGTATGCTTAGAGACATGGGGGTGCCAAAATCTTATTGACATTTTACTGTTTTGACTTCTACCTTTCTGTGCAATCGTACGCCGAGTCGTGTTCTTCTGCATAAGGCTCCCTTACAAGTTTTATTTCCTGAGCGAACACTTTTTTCGGTCCCCTCTCGTGTTTTTGGATACACATGTTTTGTTCAGGATCGGTCTCCTACTCGTCATAAGCTTGATGATAAAGTAATTCGTTGTGTCTTTGTGGGCTATTGTCATCAGTCTAAGGGATATCGGTGTTATGATCCTGTTAGACGCCTTATGTATCACAGTCTAGATGTTACCTTTCTTGAGCATATTCCTTATTTTTCTTCCAGTCCTGTGTCTGTCCCTCCAGTTGATGATACTTCCTTTGATTTTCTATTATCCCCAGAGCCAAAGCCAGTGGTCATTATCACTACAGAGTCGTCGATCTCTCCTCCTCCAAAGCCACTCATACCTGGTACAAAGTAACCGGTCTCTCTTCCTTTGCAGGCTTATGTTTGTCGCCCTTGCTCTCATCCCCCTGCTGATGTCCCCTCTATCTCAGGCGATGCAAGTAATACTTCTCAGTTTGTTGAGCATATTGATACACCTGTTGTTAGTCCTGATGAGATTGCAGGTACTGAGCCAGTTGTTTTACCTAATGAGACATTGTCAGTAGAGGATAATGATTTAGAACGTCGTTATCCATGGCGTGATCGTCGTCCAGTTGTTCGTTATGGTTGGACTGCCAAGATTTTATATCCGATCTCTGCTTATGTTTCTTATGGTGACCTGTCTCCCACATTTCGAGCTTATAGTATAACCTTATCAGATACGCCGGTTCCTCGCTCTATTTCAGAGGCTATGCAGGAGCCCCAGTGGGTTCTTGCCATGCAGACAGAGATGGACGTTCTTCAGCATAATCATACGTGAGATCTTTTCTCTTTACCTTCAGGGGTGAAGCCTGTTAGCTGTCGCTGGATTTACACCCTGAAGTTTCTCGCCGATGATACTATTGATCATCACAAGGCTAGACTTGTGGCGCAGGGCTTTACTTAGATACCAGGTTGTGATTTTGATGCTACCTTTGCCCCCGTGGCAAAATTGACTATTGTTCAACTGATTATTTCTCTAGCTGCAGAGTACTCTTGGTCTCTTCATCAGTTGGATATGAAGAATACATTTCTTCACGGTGATCTGGACGAGATTATTTATATGGATGCACCACCGGGCTTTCGTGGTGAGGGGGAGTATGCTGGAAAGATATGTCGACTGCGTAAGTCTCTTTATGGACTGAAACAGTCACCACGAGTCTGGTTCTCTCGCTTTAGTGATATAGTTGTACGTTTAGGGTTCACCAGATATCATTCTGATCATACCTACTTCATTCGACGGAATACTTCTGGACAGTGTGTTATCCTTTTGGTATATGTTGATGATATTATTATTACTGGAGATGATGTTTTTGGGACTGCGCAGGTCAAGGTAGACCTTGAAAAGGCCTTCGATGTGAAGGACCTTGAATTTTTGTGATACTTTCTTGGGATTAAAGTTACCCGTAGCAGTAGAGGTATTATTCTTTCTCAAAAAAAGTATATTCTGGATCTTCTCTCAGACACTGGGATGCTAGGGTGCAAACCGGCATCATCACCATGATTCCAAATCTGAAGCTTACTGCTGAAAGTGAGGAGTTGAGAGATCCGTCTATTTATTAGAGGTTGGTAGGTAGACTTATCTACCTAGCCAACACTAGGCCAGACATTTCATTCGCTGTCAGTCGAGTTAGTCAGTTCATGCACAGACCATGTCAGCCTCATCTTAATGCAGTTTATCATATTCTTCCGTACCTCAAGTCTTGTCCTAGACTTGGGTTGTTCTATGCATCAGGATCTCAGACTGGTTCTCTAGCCTGTTATTCAGATTTAGATTATGAGGGAGCTTGTGACAGTCGATCTACTACAGACTTCTGTGCTTTTCGAGGGACTCATCTTATTTCTTGGAAGAGCAAGAAGCAGTCAATTGTCTTTCGCTCGTCAGCGGAGACAGAGTATCGAGAACTAGCACTTAGCACATGTGAGATTATCTGGTTACAATCAATTCTTGGCGCGTTAGGATTTTCAGTGACTTATTCATCTACATTATATTGTGATAATCGATCTACTATTCAGCTTGCTTCTGACTCTGTATTACACGAGAGGACGAAGCATATAGAGATCGATATTCACTTTCTTCGGAAAAAGGTTGGCAGTGGTATTGTCACTCCATCGTTTGTGAAGACCAATGATCAGGTTGCAGATATTTTTACCAAACCTGTCACTCTATCCATTCTTCGGGACTCTGTTGTCAAGCTTGACTTAGTTGACATTTTTGCGCCTAGCTTGAGGGAGAGTGTTGGAGATATAGCAGTAGCCTAATTTATTAGGACTTGTTAATGCCTAATTTATTAGGGCTTATTAAGTTTTCTCTTTTTACCTTTTTATCCTTATTATAACTTTTATTGGTTTTATATACGGGGCTCTACACTTTGTTTGTATCCCTTTTTCACTTACCTTGATTCCAAGTAGACTCAAAACAAGATTTCAAAGTGTTTCGGAGTAACACTGTACTAATATCTTCATAATCCAATTACTGCATTTCAGAACTTGTAACTAATTACAGAATGCACATAAATATATAATCATAGAAATACACATTAGACTGAGCTCAAATTAGTTGGGATCCCCAAAACCTAACCCAGCCCAATGTAAGGTCAGGTTTAGGATTCTCAAGCTAAGCCCAAATCCAGATCCAAAATGTAGTACGATCCATCCCATATATTGAACTCAGGCTGTGTCAGGTTCAATTCATCATAGTTGTGGCAAAGTAACATCTGCCCGCTAGTAATGCATTTGCTATTAGGTTAAAAATTGTACTGGTGACATAGTATAATACTAAATATTGGAAAATCAAATAACATGAACAAGACAAATTATAGGACAAATATTTACCAAAAAACATACATATAGAACGAACTGGAGTTGGCAGAAGTATTGCATCCTTTGCCGTGTAATGTGAAATAAGCCAAAAGTCAAGAACAAGTATTTTTTTTGGGAATGTGAAAAATTCCACCAAAAAAATACAAATAAGGCCACCCAAACCATTTAAAATTCAAACTGTATTTGCAGCAGTTGAGATGTACAAGAAATAACAGAAAAAGAAATGAACATACATAAGAAGAACAAAAGTATGTGCCATCTATTACTTGGAGTGGTATAAACTTTATGAACAAGAAATTGGTTATAATTTCAGGTTTAAGAGCACACCTGCCATAATGACAACACAACAACTGCAATAAACTATAAAACAATATTAACAACCATTTGCAAGTAAATCGAATCAATAGGTCCATTATAGAACCCATGAAATTCATTATGACCTCAACAACTAAAAACTTGCTTTTAATGTTCTCCCTTTCGGATATTCTGATGTTGCCATGATATGACGCTGAATCAAGTCCTTAGGGTTGCTTGCCATAGCCTTGTATCTAGAAGGCAAAGCTCTTTCTTTCCATCTGTCATGAAGAATTTCAAATATCCATGGGAAGCAAAACACCATTTCAAATTGTTCTTCCGTGAGACAAAAGAATTTTATACTGCAGAAAATACAATGTTAAAGATTTACATACAACTCTCAGTGTCAATTTGGTCACGACCACACAAAAACACATAAGTGGAGGCAAAGGATAAAAATTAAACAAACAAATATATTCTAAAACAAAACCTTACAAAATGGATCAATGCTACAGAATGTCTGATCCATACAAGATTATACAGATGGAATAGGTATACCATTTACTAATAAAAAAATTGTATATCTCCAAATAAGTGGTCCTTACGACCTATGAAGTTCAAACTACTGAGGCAAGGATCATTGATGCAACCATAGGTTCATTAAATTAAATAAAAGGACAAGAAATGTTATCATGATTGCCTAGAATATTCCACCAGTAAAACCATCAACTTATAACTAGGGAAAAAAAAAAAAAGACAAGTCAAAGTGAGGCTAGCATACCTAAATTCAATATGCACACTGGTGATTCCATCAGAAATTTGCTTCAAACTTGGTCGAACGTGAATTTCTACCCAACCTTCAGGGGTTGGTGCATAATGCACCATATTTAATAAGAAATCTGCCAATACTTGTTGAACCCTTACTTGATCACCATAAACAGCCAGTGTTTTGATTTCCTCTGGAATATCCCTGATCAATTGTAGACCTCTTTCCCTCAGCAATGACATTACTTGGCTAACGACAGCATCTATGACACTCCCAAGTAAGAACTCAGCTTTCTCAAGTTCCAATGAACTAAAACCAGAATACAGAAAAACTCCAATCAGGGATCTTTCACTAGCAAGATCATAATGAAGCTCTTTAAAGGTTCATATGAGAATCAATCTACAACAGCTCGGTAAAGTTGTAGAAATCTTTTGCTAATGGAAAAACAAATAAAAGAAAGGCTAGCATAGAAAATTGATTACAGATGAATAACGAATCTATGGTGGAGCAAGTGAGAATTGTGTTTTTCCTCAACACCTTCCATTTAGGCTAGGTTTCATATCCCTCGGTAAATGTAACCTTGAAAGATTAATAACATCCATGTACACATGAAAGTTAATATGTTTGCATAAGATAAAGTTAGATACCAAATGTAAGTTTCACTTAGTGGGCCAGAGAGTTGGAACTAGACATAAGTTTCTTTTCATTTATACCGGTCATGCGAGTTTTATTGTACAGTGAGTTAACACAGATAATTTTGCAATTTTTCCATAACAAATATGCAGTTCACTTTTGAACCAGTATTGCAAGGTCTCACTAAATAAATTAAATTACATACTATGAAATTGTGGCAGCCCAAATTGCCACATGGTAAAAAAATTGGAAAATAACAGCAAATTTATTTACTGAAACCACAATAAGAGATAATGACTTAGGATTTTAAGAGCAACTATATGGTTTCATGTTTTAAATAAAAATTAATCTAACCATATGTGCAGTGTAGGCCATAGACCCTGGACAAGAAATGGAATTCATGAGATGAATAGTAATTATATTTAAAAAAAAAACTTGGGCTTGGAAAATGAAATAAAAGGAGTCATTTAGATAAAAAAAAAAGTTTATCCTACCAGTGTCAGGATCTCAATAGGTGGAGCCTGTCAAAATCTGGTAAATGCATAAAGTACTATATTTACAACATTTACTGCATAACTATCTACCAGAATTTCTAAAAACAAATACACGACCACAGTAAGGCTTGGTTTGATGGCTAATTCCTCTATCATCAGCAAAAGGTTGCATCTCGTTTAAACATACCCTCTTGTTTTTTCGTACGCTATTCAAAATGTACCTACGAGAAGACATAATGAAATTAACAAAAACTCACCCATCGTCTATGCTTTCCAGATCGATGTCCTTTATAATCTTCAACATTTGCTTCTCACAAGCAGCACTTGTCTCAAGAAACTGCTTTTGATCTTCTGTTAACTCTGTAGCTTCCAAAAGTGAATTAGTAAACCGTATGCCATTTAACGGATTTTTAATTTCTTGGCAAATGTAAGCCAATTCTTTCATCCTCGAATGGCATTTCTTTTCTTGTTGCCTCTGGACTTTCATAGCTTGCTGCAATTCAGGACTCGCAATCTGCAAGANGTTAGACGCCTTATGTATCACAGTCTAGATGTTACCTTTCTTGAGCATATTCCTTATTTTTCTTCCAGTCCTGTGTCTGCCCCTCCAGTTGATGATACTTCCTTTGATTTTNAAATTTTTACTGTGCAATTGTGTTCTTATCTGATTCGTGTTATTTGCAAGACCTAAGTACCAGGAGGATTATTATCAGGGGATATGAGAGAGATGGACTGTATTATCTAAGCAATCCACCTCCGATTTCATCAGTTCCTCCACCTACATCACCTGCACCTACTTTGTNTATTATCCCCGGAGCCAAAGCCAGTGGTCATTATCACTACAGAGTCGTCGATCTCTCCTCCTCCAAAGNTCCCTCCAGTTGATGATACTTCCTTTGATTTTCTATTATCCCCAGAGCCAAAGCCAGTGGTCATTATCACTACAGAGTCGTCGATCTCTCCTCCTCCAAAGCCNAGATCTCACCTAAAGCCAGCTGATGCCGACCCTGGATATTCTGTGTGGTTCTCTGAGAACTGCGCCATTCTTGGATGGTTATTTGGCTCGATGGAGCTATATGTTTGCAGGATTCACCAGTTTCATAGCTCTGTTCCGAAGCTATGGAGCGCATTATCAAAGATGTATTCCCAGTCAAGACTGGGAATACGTGTTTATGAGCTTTCTCAGGAGCTCTCATATGCTCGGCAAGGAGACATGACCGTTCAGGATTATTATGGCTATTTGACCCAGCGCCGGCTTGAGTATGAGGCTTTACGTCTTCTTGCTGTTATTCCGAGGATAGAGCCCGAGGGAGCAACATTCTTACATACTCGAGAGCAGGAAGATAAGATTCACAAGTTCCTTATAGGGCTTCGTGATGAGTTTGAGGGACCTCGTTCCCAGATCTTGTCGATGTTGACGCTTCCTTCTCTTTATGAGGTGTATGCGATAATTGAGCAGCATGAGCGTCGCGTCCGTATTACATCACTTCCAGTTGCAGCCTTGACTCCTCCGGTTGATCATATGACCCTTGCAGCTGCTGCAGGGTCTCGTTCAGGATCCTCAATCAGGGGTGGGCAACGCTTGAACCAGTGCCGTTAGGGTGCCCTAGATCAGCGCAAACAGGGGGATTCTCGTCAGTGTGATTATTGTGGCCGACTAGGATATCTCAAGGCTACTTGCTTGAAGCTCCATCCAGAGCTTAAGCCGCCTCCTCGTAGTCGTACTGCTGTTATTGCTGAGGTACCACCATTTACTTCCGCTACTCCTACTACTGCTCCTCCTTGGCAGAGTGATATAAATGTTATTACTTCCCGATTAGATATACTTATGTCCACTCTGACTTCTCAGAGTCCGACTACTGCTACTGCCACCAATACAGATATACCTCATGCCTATCATGCTTGTGCCAGTCTGTCTTCCCTTTGGATGCTGGACTCAGGTGCGAATGATCACATGACAGATGAGGCCCATCACTTCACCAATTTTGACGAGCAGTTATATACACAGGTTCAGTTAGCAGATGGGACACATGCCCCTATTATTAGTAAGGGCACAGTTCGCCTCCCAGATGACTTTACATTACGTTCGATTTTTCATACGCCAAAATTGGCCATGAATCTATTATCTGTACATCAGTTAGCCAGAAATTTTTACTGTGCAATTGTGTTCTTATCTGATTCGTGTTATTTGCAAGACCTAAGTACCAGGAGGATTATTATCAGGGGATATGAGAGAGATGGACTGTATTATCTAAGCAATCCACCTCCGATTTCATCAGTTCCTCCACCTACATCACCTGCACCTACTTTGTTTTTATCTGTTCCTAGCTTGCATGCTAGTATTTTACCTAGTAATTGTCGTTATGATTTTTTGTCACAAACTGTTCAGTTGTGGCATGACCGTTTTGGACATACAAATTTTAAATATTTATGTATGTTGTTTCCTGCTTTGAGCAATGCTTGTGTTGGTGATAAATTTGACTATGTTATATGTTCCCTATCAAAAACATGTTAGGACCAGTTATATTTCTCGCATGCACCAGTCACCCAAGCCATTTGACCTAATACACTCTAATATTTGGAGACCCTCTCCTGTTACTGCTCTGTCAGGTGCCCGATACTATGTGACATTTATAGATGACCATACCCGTTGTATTTGGGTCTACCTTTTGCATAGGAAGTCTGATGTACTCCCTATAATCACTCAGTTTCTGCAGATGATTAAGACACAATTCGATGTCATTGTCCGTGCTCTTCGTTCAGATAATGCCAAAAAATACGTGTCTGATGTCGTAATTTCTCACCTTTCTTCTCAGGATTTCCTTCAGCAACTCACTTATCCATATACTCCTGAGCAAAATGGCGTTGCTAAAAGAAAAAAATAGGAGTCTGATAAGGATGGTACGTTGTATGCTTAGAGACATGAGGGTGCCAAAATCTTATTGACATTTTACTGTTTTGACTTCTACCTTTCTGTGCAATCGTACGCCGAGTCGTGTTCTTCTGCATAAGGCTCCCTTACAAGTTTTATTTCCTGAGCGAACACTTTTTTCGGTCCCCTCTCGTGTTTTTGGATACACATGTTTTGTTCAGGATCGGTCTCCTACTCGTCATAAGCTTGATGATAAAGTAATTCGTTGTGTCTTTGTGGGCTATTGTCATCAGTCTAAGGGATATCGGTGTTATGATCCTGTTAGACGCCTTATGTATCACAGTCTAGATGTTACCTTTCTTGAGCATATTCCTTATTTTTCTTCCAGTCCTGTGTCTGCCCCTCCAGTTGATGATACTTCCTTTGATTTTCTATTATCCCCGGAGCCAAAGCCAGTGGTCATTATCACTACAGAGTCGTCGATCTCTCCTCCTCCAAAGCCACTCATACCTGGTACAAAGTAACCGGTCTCTCTTCCTTTGCAGGCTTATGTTTGTCGCCCTTGCTCTCATCCCCCTGCTGATGTCCCCTCTATCTCAGGCGATGCAAGTAATACTTCTCAGTTTGTTGAGCATATTGATACACCTGTTGTTAGTCCTGATGAGATTGCAGGTACTGAGCCAGTTGTTTTACCTAATGAGACATTGTCAGTAGAGGATAATGATTTAGAACGTCGTTATCCATGGCGTGATCGTCGTCCAGTTGTTCGTTATGGTTGGACTGCCAAGATTTTATATCCGATCTCTGCTTATGTTTCTTATGGTGACCTGTCTCCCACATTTCGAGCTTATAGTATAACCTTATCAGATACGCCGGTTCCTCGCTCTATTTCAGAGGCTATGCAGGAGCCCCAGTGGGTTCTTGCCATGCAGACAGAGATGGACGTTCTTCAGCATAATCATACGTGAGATCTTTTCTCTTTACCTTCAGGGGTGAAGCCTGTTAGCTGTCGCTGGATTTACACCCTGAAGTTTCTCGCCGATGATACTATTGATCATCACAAGGCTAGACTTGTGGCGCAGGGCTTTACTTAGATACCAGGTTGTGATTTTGATGCTACCTTTGCCCCCGTGGCAAAATTGACTATTGTTCAACTGATTATTTCTCTGGCTGCAGAGTACTCTTGGTCTCTTCATCAGTTGGATATGAAGAATACATTTCTTCACGGTGATCTGGACGAGATTATTTATATGGATGCACCACCGGGCTTTCGTGGTGAGGGGGAGTATGCTGGAAAGATATGTCGACTGCGTAAGTCTCTTTATGGACTGAAACAGTCACCACGAGTCTGGTTCTCTCGCTTTAGTGATATAGTTGTACGTTTAGGGTTCACCAGATATCATTCTGATCATACCTACTTCATTCGACGGAATACTTCTGGACAGTGTGTTATCCTTTTGGTATATGTTGATGATATTATTATTACTGGAGATGATGTTTTTGGGACTGCGCAGGTCAAGGTAGACCTTGAAAAGGCCTTCGATGTGAAGGACCTTGAATTTTTGTGATACTTTCTTGGGATTAAAGTTACCCGTAGCAGTAGAGGTATTATTCTTTCTCAAAAAAAGTATATTCTGGATCTTCTCTCAGACACTGGGATGCTAGGGTGCAAACCGGCATCATCACCATGATTCCAAATCTGAAGCTTACTGCTGAAAGTGAGGAGTTGAGAGATCCGTCTATTTATTAGAGGTTGGTAGGTAGACTTATCTACCTAGCCAACACTAGGCCAGACATTTCATTCGCTGTCAGTCGAGTTAGTCAGTTCATGCACAGACCATGTCAGCCTCATCTTAATGCAGTTTATCATATTCTTCCGTACCTCAAGTCTTGTCCTAGACTTGGGTTGTTCTATGCATCAGGATCTCAGACTGGTTCTCTAGCCTGTTATTCAGATTTAGATTATGAGGGAGCTTGTGACAGTCGATCTACTACAGACTTTTGTGCTTTTCGAGGGACTCATCTTATTTCTTGGAAGAGCAAGAAGCAGTCAATTGTCTTTCGCTCGTCAGCGGAGACAGAGTATCGAGAACTAGCACTTAGCACATGTGAGATTATCTGGTTACAATCAATTCTTGGCGCGTTAGGATTTTCAGTGACTTATTCATCTACATTATATTGTGATAATCGATCTACTATTCAGCTTGCTTCTGACTCTGTATTACACGAGAGGACGAAGCATATAGAGATCGATATTCACTTTCTTCGGAAAAAGGTTAGCAGTGGTATTGTCACTCCATCGTTTGTGAAGACCAATGATCAGGTTGCAGATATTTTTACCAAACCTGTCACTCTATCCATTCTTCGGGACTCTGTTGTCAAGCTTGACTTAGTTGACATTTTTGCGCCTAGCTTGAGGGAGAGTGTTGGAGATATAGCAGTAGCCTAATTTATTAGGACTTGTTACTGCCTAATTTATTAGGGCTTATTAAGTTTTCTCTTTTTACCTTTTTATCCTTATTATAACTTTTATTGGTTTTATATACGGGGCTCTACACTTTGTTTGTATCCCTTTTTCACTTACCTTGATTCCAAGTAGACTCAAAACAAGATTTCAAAGTGTTTCGGAGTAACACTGTACTAATATCTTCATAATCCAATTACTGCATTTCAGAACTTGTAACTAATTACAGAATGCACATAAATATATAATCATAGAAATACACATTAGACTGAGCTCAAATTAGTTGGGATCCCCAAAACCTAACCCAGCCCAATTTAAGGTCAGGTTTAGGATTCTCAAGCTAAGCCCAAATCCAGATCCAAAATGTAGTACGATCCATCCCATATATTGAACTCAGGCTGTGTCAGGTTCAATTCATCATAGTTGTGGCAAAGTAACATCTGCCCGCTAGTAATGCATTTGCTATTAGGTTAAAAATTGTACTGGTGACATAGTATAATACTAAATATTGGAAAATCAAATAACATGAACAAGACAAATTATAGGACAAATATTTACCAAAAAACATACATATAGAACGAACTGGAGTTGGCAGAAGTATTGCATCCTTTGCCGTGTAATGTGAAATAAGCCAAAAGTCAAGAACAAGTATTTTTTTTGGGAATGTGAAAAATTCCACCAAAAAAATACAAATAAGGCCACCCAAACCATTTAAAATTCAAACTGTATTTGCAGCAGTTGAGATGTACAAGAAATAACAGAAAAAGAAATGAACATACATAAGAAGAACAAAAGTATGTGCCATCTATTACTTGGAGTGGTATAAACTTTATGAACAAGAAATTGGTTATAATTTCAGGTTTAAGAGCACACCTGCCATAATGACAACACAACAACTGCAATAAACTATAAAACAATATTAACAACCATTTGCAAGTAAATCGAATCAATAGGTCCATTATAGAACCCATGAAATTCATTATGACCTCAACAACTAAAAACTTGCTTTTAATGTTCTCCCTTTCGGATATTCTGATGTTGCCATGATATGACGCTGAATCAAGTCCTTAGGGTTGCTTGCCATAGCCTTGTATCTAGAAGGCAAAGCTCTTTCTTTCCATCTGTCATGAAGAATTTCAAATATCCATGGGAAGCAAAACACCATTTCAAATTGTTCTTCCGTGAGACAAAAGAATTTTATACTGCAGAAAATACAATGTTAAAGATTTACATACAACTCTCAGTGTCAATTTGGTCACGACCACACAAAAACACATAAGTGGAGGCAAAGGATAAAAATTAAACAAACAAATATATTCTAAAACAAAACCTTACAAAATGGATCAATGCTACAGAATGTCTGATCCATACAAGATTATACAGATGGAATAGGTATACCATTTACTAATAAAAAAATTGTATATCTCCAAATAAGTGGTCCTTACGACCTATGAAGTTCAAACTACTGAGGCAAGGATCATTGATGCAACCATAGGTTCATTAAATTAAATAAAAGGACAAGAAATGTTATCATGATTGCCTAGAATATTCCACCAGTAAAACCATCAACTTATAACTAGGGGAAAAAAAAAAAAAAAGACAAGTCAAAGTGAGGCTAGCATACCTAAATTCAATATGCACACTGGTGATTCCATCAGAAATTTGCTTCAAACTTGGTCGAACGTGAATTTCTACCCAACCTTCAGGGGTTGGTGCATAATGCACCATATTTAATAAGAAATCTGCCAATACTTGTTGAACCCTTACTTGATCACCATAAACAGCCAGTGTTTTGATTTCCTCTGGAATATCCCTGATCAATTGTAGACCTCTTTCCCTCAGCAATGACATTACTTGGCTAACGACAGCATCTATGACACTCCCAAGTAAGAACTCAGCTTTCTCAAGTTCCAATGAACTAAAACCAGAATACAGAAAAACTCCAATCAGGGATCTTTCACTAGCAAGATCATAATGAAGCTCTTTAAAGGTTCATATGAGAATCAATCTACAACAGCTCGGTAAAGTTGTAGAAATCTTTTGCTAATGGAAAAACAAATAAAAGAAAGGCTAGCATAGAAAATTGATTACAGATGAATAACGAATCTATGGTGGAGCAAGTGAGAATTGTGTTTTTCCTCAACACCTTCCATTTAGGCTAGGTTTCATATCCCTCGGTAAATGTAACCTTGAAAGATTAATAACATCCATGTACACATGAAAGTTAATATGTTTGCATAAGATAAAGTTAGATACCAAATGTAAGTTTCACTTAGTGGGCCAGAGAGTTGGAACTAGACATAAGTTTCTTTTCATTTATACCGGCCATGCGAGTTTTATTGTACAGTGAGTTAACACAGATAATTTTGCAATTTTTCCATAACAAATATGCAGTTCACTTTTGAACCAGTATTGCAAGGTCTCACTAAATAAATTAAATTACATACTATGAAATTGTGGCAGCCCAAATTGCCACATGGTAAAAAAATTGGAAAATAACAGCAAATTTATTTACTGAAACCACAATAAGAGATAATGACTTAGGATTTTAAGAGCAACTATATGGTTTCATGTTTTAAATAAAAATTAATCTAACCATATGTGCAGTGTAGGCCATAGACCCTGGACAAGAAATGGAATTCATGAGATGAATAGTAATTATATTTAAAAAAAAAACTTGGGCTTGGAAAATGAAATAAAAGGAGTCATTTAGATAAAAAAAAAAGTTTATCCTACCAGTGTCAGGATCTCAATAGGTGGAGCCTGTCAAAATCTGGTAAATGCATAAAGTACTATATTTACAACATTTACTGCATAACTATCTACCAGAATTTCTAAAAACAAATACACGACCACAGTAAGGCTTGGTTTGATGGCTAATTCCTCTATCATCAGCAAAAGGTTGCATCTCGTTTAAACATACCCTCTTGTTTTTTCGTACGCTATTCAAAATGTACCTACGAGAAGACATAATGAAATTAACAAAAACTCACCCATCGTCTATGCTTTCCAGATCGATGTCCTTTATAATCTTCAACATTTGCTTCTCACAAGCAGCACTTGTCTCAAGAAACTGCTTTTGATCTTCTGTTAACTCTGTAGCTTCCAAAAGTGAATTAGTAAACCGTATGCCATTTAACGGATTTTTAATTTCTTGGCAAATGTAAGCCAATTCTTTCATCCTCGAATGGCATTTCTTTTCTTGTTGCCTCTGGACTTTCATAGCTTGCTGCAATTCAGGACTCGCAATCTGCAAGAAGCAGAAGGCTCCTATAACCTGACCGTCCATGTTAACCCTTTTATTTGCAGTCAAGAGAGCTTGCACATATTTTCCACTTTGATCGAAGAAGGAAAATGGAAACTTGTCCGTATCCTCTCCTCCAATTGCATTATGCAACACAATCATGAATTTTGTCAAAGCATCCGGGCCTTTGAGTCGACAGCAACTGCCAAAAATCTCCCCAACCAACATCTTCCCAATAATGTCCCCTCTGCTCCACCCAGTGAGCTTTTCCATGGCGGTGTTCCACTCAGAGCAACACGTGTTCTCATCTGAAGCAAATATAGGTGGGATCAGAGGATTGGGACTATGTACAATAGCCTTGTAATCACCTTGGATGTGGATGAATTTATCCATCACCACTTTCTGACCAGTAACATCCTGACCAACAAAGCACACACCAACAATATTATCTGTGTAGTCCTTGCTAGAACAAGCATTGACCACCACAAAGACAGCCTTCTTAAGTTGTTCCGAGCCAAATGTCCTCAATTTTAATTCTATATTCTTGTCTTCTTCACCTGCATTAATTAACTTCAGTAATCTAATAACCATAACATTAACTACTGAATTCCACTCAAATATTGACAAATACCCATGACTTAAAACTCTAGTCCAACTTAACACTGGAACACTTCCACAGCTAATGCTAAGTGGGCTTTTATTGACAATGGCCAATACCAATACCAGAAAAAGAGATCTTCTAACCCTTTGAAAAAAACTCAATTTTATTGCTTCTCTCTGTTGTTTACCAATGGCAAAATGTCAAAGTTAATTTAGTTTTCAGGTAGTCGTGTTGGGTACCTCTTACCACTATTGGACACACCCAGTGGCAGTGGTGCCGATTCTGTTAAAAACCAATAGTGCGACCAGTTTCAAAGAACCCACTAGCAAGCCAACAAAAAGGCAACAGCATAAATTGTAATCAAGATTACAGACCTTTGGTCCACTTGAACAGTGGTAGGCATAGTATTTACCAAATCATCCCTATCTAAGTATCTATCATGAATAGATGCACGTAAACTAAGGAAATATGATTGGTAACTGTAACTTTTTTCTTTTGCATCTACACCGCTCATTTTATTCAATGAAATAGCCTTCAAGCATCCATACATATGAATTGATTCAATGTGCATTATGCAGAACAAAATCAGAAAAATTACTTTATAGGAAAAGAAGATGTGGAGCATTATATTAATGTTTCAAAAACGGCCATACCCAGTGCAGGCTATTTGCCTATATCAGAGTCTGGACTCTAGGAGGGATAAGTAGTAGGCAACCTTTCCCTCTTTAGGAAAGGTTGGTTCCCAGACTCGAACATGCAGTGTATCGCTTAGGTGGAGGATCACTTGCCATTATGTTAATGTTTCCCAATCATACTTCTTTTGCATGTTTTTGTTGATTATTAACCCACGTTATATGTAGTATCATTAACAGAGCTGGAAAAAGAACAAAAAGATGACTTAGTAAGCAAAAGGCTATCCTTGGCTTTAAGTGAATGGAAAAATATGAAACTGCCCAAAAATGCCCACTTGATGAATGTCTACTATTAACAATAATAGTAAATAAGAAATGTCATAGAACTACCTCTTAAAGCGTGATCTAGAAGCTTGTCAGTGGTTTCTTCTGATTCCTTATGAACAAGTTCATGAACCAAGGACTTCCCCATAGCTTCCTCAACTGATAAGCCAGTCAACTCTGCAACCTTCGCATTCCACCCGTTAATGCAGCCCTCAACATCAACGGCAAATATGGGAGCTGTTGCTGTCTCTATTAACCTAACCATTTCTCTTGCAACAGAGCTGAGCTCATCTATCCCTTGCAACTCCATATCCCCAAACTCAGCATGTATAACAGCATTTGAATTGATTCCCTCAGATTCCCTAAATGAGTCTCGTAGAATAAGCTGTAAAGAGTGGATTGCATCCATTTCTGCGTTCTCCCATGGTAAACTCCTACTCTTAACCACTTCCAAAAATGCCTTAAATGAAGAGCGCGGATGCATCCTCTGCCCATCATCTTTGTCCTCTGGATGATGCTTTGCACCACCCCACTTGATCTCCTTAGCTGTGTGAGACCGGAACCAGAATAGAAAGTCTTTTGAAGTGATATAACCAACAGCCATCCCACAAACTTCATCACCAAGTGAGGCTGCTCCAGGATACCCGGCATCAGCCAAACTGTCAGTGCTCAAACCTGTTGAATCACCATGGAAAGCCAACAACCACTGCACGATATCCTTTATCTGGGCTTCAGTCGGTGCCACACCTAGTGGATAGTACTTCCCTTGGTAGTAGAGTGCAGCCCCATCACACTTCACAAGGTCCATGATACTGGGGCTTTGAGTTACAATCCCAGTTGGGGAATCTCGAAGGAGCATGTCGCACAACAGAGTTTGGGTCCTTAAGACATGCTTCTCCGACAATTGCAATGCCAGTTGCAACTCCATGTTCAATTGGAGCCCAAATGCCTGCATTAAAAATTCACAAGCATAACGAAGTGGGAATGGAATGCACCGGGCAGAAGTGTGATGACAAACTACCAAGCCCCACAGCCTCATAGAGTTTCGTCCCCCATTAGCTTCCTCATCATTTCCATTAATGATAACTGCCAAGCCTAACGAGGCAATCGACCCCATATTGGCCATGTACTGGGCATGACAACCATGAGGAGCCCGAAGTGTAGAACCAACTAAACATAGAGACTGCATAAGTGCTTCATCCTGAATAACACCAACCGGAGTGGCATGACAATCCACAATCATCCTAACCCTATTCTGCTTAAACAAAAATCTCGAAGCCTGAGGTATATCAGTTGCAGGATAATGTAACCCAATATAAGGGTCCAAATCTGGTCTCTTGCTCTCAGCCACAACCTCACCATGCTCATCCTCATGAAACTTATACACCATAACACGGTCATAGCCAGTAAGTTCCCTCACATTTTCAACCACAGTATCACACAAAAGCTTAATGTCCCCACCAGGAAGTGACTGCAAACGTGAAATTGCCCTTACCGCAAGCTTCTGGGACTGCACAGCCCCGGCAATAGACAGAGCAGGGTCCTCTGTCCTAGCCGGCTCCAAGTCAATTACAATCCCCACATCAATCCTATGCAAAATTGCATAAAAGGGTTTACCCGAATTCTTCGAATGAATCCAAACTGGGTTCAACAGGGTGATTTCGCGAGCCCCAAACGCCCTTGCCAGCAAAACAGCGCTCGAAGGGGTAAAAAGGGTCCTGACATCAGTCCCAATTGTGAGGATTTCGGGTTTTTCGAGACTCGGGACAGATTGAGGGGTGAGACCAAGCATATCTCTTGAGTTTTCGCTGAAAGCAATGACCCGAAAAGTAATTTCATCCACAGCAATCATGCAACCAAAGGGTTGTATATGACCCCCTCTTTGAATTCTTGATAAATAAGCAGTGATTTGTTGTTCAGGTACAGATTGTGTGGTTGTCCTAACAGATTGTGAATAATCAAAGGACTTACCGGACTCGCCGGACTCTTCGAAGACAGCATGTAAACGAGCATCAACAGTATACTGTGCAATGGCTTTACTAACTGAGTCTCTATTGACATTAATTGTACCTGAAGACTGAGCTTTGGCTTGAGATTGAGCATGCTGATGATTGTTATGTGTTGCTCTGCTTCCTGAAGCCATTTTTACTTCTTCTTTCTTGACTACAACTAAAGAGAGAGTGTTTATGTGAAGGTATAGAAGAACATCACCAATGGTGGTCTCACAACACTAATGGGGTATCAGATTCAAGATTCTGGGTTGTTCTGAACTTGTGAAATCATAAGCTGAAGCCTGGAGGGTATGTTCGATTCTAAAATGTATCTAGTGTTCAGACTTTTATTAGAGCATCTCCAAAACACCAGCTGAATTCACAAAATCTTCAAATTTGATCAATTTAACCAAAAAAATTATTCCAACAGATTATTTTTTATCACTTCATACAAAATCTTCGAATTTTTTACCTATTTAACTCACAAAATCTTCAAATGTTTAGCACTTCTCATAATTTATATGATCAAATAACGTTTGATCTTCAAAAAAATAATATAGGGTGACTTAATATTTTAATTTAAGAGCGCAGTGGGTGTAAATTTAAACACTGACTTAATATTTTTTTATATTTCTATCAATTATAAATTATCAAAATTAAAATCAATGATTATCGATGAATTTTAGGTACTATAGTTCTAATATTTTTTTTTATCTTGACAAGCGTTTGGTTTTTTATTGGGATATAATATTAAGATATTTTTAATTTTAAACTTGCTCCGATATTATTTTTGCTTGCTACTCGACTATCTCTTATATATGTTTTCAATCTTATTCTAATTTGTTTTATTCTTATTTTTCAATTATTATTCATGCTATTTTGTTCTTTTAGAGTTTTAATTTATTCTTGAAAAGATTTAGTTGTTGAATTCTCTTTAAATACTACATAAAAATAAACATGTGCAGAGTCACAATGAAACTAAGTATAATTTTTACTAATTAATTACCTTAGATAAAACTTAAATATCTTTTTTTTTTTTGAATTGATAAAAAAATGTTCGATAAGATAGTCGAGATTTAAAATTAGAAGTTGGCTATTTTGATGTGGTCCAACATTTGAATTTAGTTCAAAAGGTTGACATACTTTTTTTATTGTATAGTAGTTATTTTTCGTGCCTGAATGTACAAAATAATAAAAAAAAAATGTTAACAATAAATATATTTATATTCACACTAAAAATTAAATTACAAAAATAGAGAAAAGAGAAAAGAATTTAAACACCGATTTAAAATGGAGACGAGTGGTAGTGGGTGAAAAAAGGTGATGGTTGTAATAAATGACGCTGGTCGATTGTGATGATGGTAGATGTGGGTGGTAATGGTAATGGTGGTGGGGCGGTGGTACGGGGTGGGGCAACAGTGACAGTGATAGTGGTGGTGGTGGGGGGGTAACGAGGATAGTGGTGGTGAGGTAGTGGTGGGGTGACAACGATGGTAGTGGTGGTAGAGTGGCGATCGCGATAATGATGATGGTGATGGGGATGATTAGGGTGGCAGTAGTGGTGGTGGTGGCAATAGTGGTGGTGATGAGGCGATGAGGAGTGGTGGTGATGGTGGTAGGGGTAATGGTAAGACAATAGCGATGGTGGTAAAGTGGCAACAATGGTGGTGGTGATGGTAGTTGGGATGGTGGTGGTGATGGTAGTGGAATGGCGACGTCGGTGGTTGTTGTAGGACGGTGGTGATGATTGTTGTGGAATAGGTGGTGGTGGGGTGGCAACGGTGATGTTGGGGTGGTAAGGTGGCGGCAACGGTGGTGATAGTCGGGCGAAGACAATGATGGTGATTGTTGTGGCAAAGGTGGTGGTGTAATTGTGACGACGATAGTGGTGGCGACGGTAATAATGGTGGTGGTGTGGTAGTAGTGGTGGTGGTGGAGGGGTAGTTGTGGGGGTGGGGTGACGATAATGGTGATAGTGGTACTAGTGGTGAGGCAGTGGGCGTTTGTGGTGGTAATAGTGGTGGTGATGCAGTTTCAAACACTAATTTTTTTGTTTAAAATAGTTTTACGAAGTTATAAGTTTTTGAAACACTTTTTAAAAAGTCACTTCAAACACATTTTTCGAGACTTATTTTTTTTATTAAATTTAGGGTGTTAATATTAGCAGTCAGATTAATTTTAAAATAAAATTNGTGGTGGTAATAGTGGTGGTGATGCAATTTCAAACACTAATTTTTTTGTTTAAAATAGTTTTACGAAGTTATAAGTTTTTGAAACACTTTTTAAAAAGTCACCTCAAACACATTTTTCGAGACTTATTTTTTTTATTAAATTTAGGGTGTTAATATTAGCAGTCAGATTAATTTTAAAATAAAATTTAAAGAAATCTCAGTGAATAATAAAAATAATTTTTTTTATTTTTTAAAATTTAAATTATATTGTACTTTATATATATATATATATATTAAAAGGAAAATATCTCTACATAATTTAAAATAAACATTTATTTAGAAATGTGTCCCAATTATCTTGTGGTTGAAACTAAAGCAACGAAGCGGCCTCCATGGTGAATAGGACTTAGGATGGGTGCGTGCGTTCCNTTTTATTTTTTAAAATTTGAATTATATTGTACTTTATATATATATATATATATATATATTAAAAGGAAAATATCTCTACATAATTTAAAATAAACATTTATTTAGAAATGTGTCCCAATTATCTTGTGGTTGAAACTAAAGCAACGAAGCGGCCTCCATGGTGAATAGGACTTAGGATGGGTGCGTGCGTTCCCAAGCTGGAAGAACATGTGATTGGAGAGTTGGGCCACGGGAGACGAATGGCTACCACAGATATCTGTTGGAAAAATTACATCGCTACTCCTTTTAGAGTTTTTGATAATAATAAATGATGTACAAAAGATTATCTTTTGAAATTAAACTAACATCCCTATAAGATTCAATATTATAGGAGAAAATCTTATCCGCGTACCANAAGTTGGGCCACGGGAGACGAATGGCTGCCACAGATATCTGTTGGAAAAATTACATCGCTATTCCTTTTAGAGTTTTTGATAATAATAAATGATGTACAAAAGATTATCTTTTGAAATTAAACTAACATCCCTATAAGATTCAATATTATAGGAGAAAATCTTATCCGCGTACCAAACAATGACATAATAATTAATCCCCTTCCTTGTAAAATCTCTCTCTCTCTCTCTCTCTCTCGTAAATTCATTAACACAACGCTAAATTAGAGGACTTGAATATTCTTTAAATCTGAAGTGTTCAAACCAACTTATGCACATCTTGATTAATTCTCTCTCAAGTTTAGTCAAAGACGGACCATTTACGTCAGTACTAAAATATTCATGATGAATAAATCTCTCATGATCTAATTTTAAAAAATTACCAAAGTTTAATTTGTTCATATTACTACTTCACTAACTCTTAATACTAACTTTTTAATTATTTTTGGAAAACGAAAAAATTTCATGGCCTATCCTCAACAAGTAGAGGTGCGCTTATATTACTCAGGCTCGCAAGTCGTAACTCTAAATAAAATCAAGGACAAAGTTTAGAGTATGAAACCAGTCCTTCAACTCATACACCATTTAAATCAAAATTTGTATTTTATCGGAGACTCAAGACCCACAATAGAAACTTGAATACGATTTATTTAAACAACTGAAATCTTATTCTACCAAATAGTCACGCTATTGCACCCAGGAGACTTCGAACTCCCAACCTCTCCTCGGGAAGCCAAGGACCCTGGCCAAGTGAGCTACCTTGGTTCTAACTTTTCCATTTTGGAACAAACATAACCATATCCTATTATATGTTGCCTTTCGGTTTCAGATCATATTCCCACCACGTGAAAGTCGTACAATAATTGACATCTCAACATCTTTGCATCCTTATTTCCATGTCAAGGCACATGAAATTTTGTATTTATTCATGTGGAATATATTAGAATATGCTAGCATTGGTCTCCGGGGTTTAGTTTACATGACTTTCATTATTGTATAGTTTAAGAAGATTAAGGTATACACAATTTTACTCTGTATGATTTGTCCGATAACAAAATGTACACTTACTTTTTCAATATTTTTTTACGATTAATTGTAAATTGTACTTTAAAGATCGTTCGAATCTCAATTTGCACATTCAAATATCAAAAATTTTGATTTACACTCTAAAAGATAAAAATTTGTATCAATACGCACCTAAAACTAACAATCGTCAATTTGTCATCTAAAACTAAATAAATGACACCTAGACCCCTCATGTTTGTCACTTAATCACCTAGACTCATCACATTTGAAATATTACACCTACATCTCTTGAGAATCCAAATATGACTAAAAATGTTCTCCCGATTGAGCACCCAAAAAATTTTGTTCAAGTGATGTATTTCATTGTATATAAAAAAATTATATAAATACGTGCATTATATTGATCATTCAAATGGTAAGTTTGATTTTGAATTTTAGAGTATAACAGATTCAAAAAATAAAAGGTAATATGAAAAGTATAATTTTTATTAGGATAAATAATATTTTTAACTGTTATATTAACATATATCAACGACAATAGAGGGTTATGTGTTATACGTACATAAACGTCAGGAGATGCAGGAATAATATTTTAAATGTGAGGAAATTCAAATAATTAAATGACAAATTTGAGAGGGTCTAGGTGTAATTTACCTAACTAATTTTAGACGGCAAACTGATAGTTGTTAGTTTCATGTGCGCATTAATACAAATTTATATCTTTGTAGGTGTAAATTAAAATTTTTAATCTTTAAAGATACAAATTGATATTAGAACGATTTTTTAAGGTGTAATTTGCGATTAACCTTAATTTTTTACTAAAACATTGCAGTTGTATAAAATGCAACAGTTATGATATACAATAAAGTAAAAAAATGTTGATACATTTATATGTACATCAATCTTCATTGTTTTCTCTCTCCTTTTCTGCCCATACTTGGATAATAATTTTCGATAGTTAAGTAATTTATGAGAGAAAGAACAAGGTAAGTTAAAAAAAAAAAAAAAAAAAGAAAAGAAAAGAAAAGCGTACCTGGGGCACAAAGAAACCTATGATTGGAATTGAGAAAAGTAATATTTGTTTTTTTTTATGTTGATTCATTAACCTGTCCACTTTTGCACTTCAATACGAAAACCTTGAATGGGGTGTGTAGATGATTTTTAAACCACGTTGGAACTAAAAACCAAGTGTTCTTCATGGGGACAGATAATACTTGCTTGGTAAATGTTAAATTCAGATCGTAGGGGTCTCAACATTGATCGTCNATGTTGATTCATTAACCTGTCCACTTTTGCACTTCAATACGAAAACCTTGAATGGGTTGTGTAGATGATTTTTAAACCACGTTGGAACTAAAAACCAAGTGTTCTTCATGGGGACAGATAATACTTGCTTGGTAAATGTTAAATTCAGATCGTAGGGGTCTCAACATTGATCGTCAACACCAAATTCAATAAGATATAATTATTAAATACGCATAATAAATCATCTAAATTAATATTTAACGCTCAAAATATACTTAATAAAAAAAATTTTGCGAATCTTAACATGAATAATAATAACACTACATAAAAATACCGATACGCGGGTCGCACGACATGACACTAATTGACACCCCTAATTTAGAATTTTTTTTNTTATTAAATACGCATAATAAATTATCTAAATTAATATTTAACGCTCAAAATATACTTAATAAAAAAAAATTTGCGAATCTTAACATGAATAATAATAACACTACATAAAAATACCGATACGCGGGTCGCACGACATGACACTAATTGACACCCCTAATTTAGAATTTTTTTTATTAACATAATTATTATACTGTACCTCCAAAATTTATTATTTTTTAATATTTTTACAAAAAAAAAATTATTCTTTTTATAGATATTTTTACTACTATTGATAAAATATTTTTACCATTTTTTTATATACAAATAAAATTACCAATTTTTTTGATGATTTATCACTTTTGTAGATATTTCTATCACTTTTGTAGATATTTTATTTTTTGATACCGTAGACACGACTCCCTTTCTTTATAATAATCCGTCAAANATAACATAATTATTATACTGTACCTCCAAAATTTATTATTTTTTAATATTTTTACAAAAAAAAAATTATCCTTTTTATAGATATTTTTACTACTATTGTGATAAAATATTTTTACCATTTTTTTATGTACAAATAAAATTACCAATTTTTTTGATGATTTATCACTTTTGTAGATATTTCTATCACTTTTGTGGGTGTTATTTTTACCACTTTTTTTTGGCACCACAACAGTGATAAAAACACTTACAAAAATAATAAAAATACTCATAAAAATTATAAACTACCAATTTTTTATTATTTTATTTTTTGATACCGTAGACACGACTCCCTTTCTTTATAATAATCCGTCAAAGCTTACAATGTAAGTGCTCAGTCTGCCATTATCAATACAAAGACCAGTCCAACAGCTGAACAATCATCACAACAAATTGGGTACAGAAAACTTCTAATGAAAATGCTTGTTGGAAGCAGGAAAGCATTGTTGTTCCCACTGCAATTTGGAAACTCATCACTTGGTGTAAAGAACATCTTCCCATGGATGACGGTATAGAGGCTGCTTCAATCTCTTTTGATCAAAAGTATGCCTGAGATTTCAAACAAGCAAAAATAAAATTAGACCAAATATGATAGCGCCACGATACAAAGAAACACATATAATCATATTAGGACTAGGGGATGTTTTTATGAATAATGCAGCTTACCCGATGAGACCAATGGAACGGGCCAGCACGAAAAGCCCATTCAGGTAGCCAATCTCAACAATCTCGTCAATTTCTTGCTTGGTGAACATTCCACTGCCTGCGAGGAGGTCCAAGAAGAGGGACCCAATAGCACCATCTACGTTCATTACTAGGTTGTTTGCCTTGGAGAGAGTGTAGGTTTCAACTTGCACTGCGTATTCCATGTACTTCACCGAGGGAAACTGGTCACGAGCAAACCGTTGCAGCAACTCTACTCTCTTGTCTCTGTTGTCACCTCTCTTGATCCTTTTTCACCAAGCAGCATATAAAGTTCTCCAAGTCAAGATTAAGTGGTAGACATTCAAACCACGAATAATAGGACAATAGAGCCCAAAATACAAGATTTGCACATTCCTATTGCAGGTTTTGAATTTGCAATACGGGGAAATACATATAAAAAAACACAACCTGACAAATAAGAAGCTCCATACCTGTGTCCAATTCCTGGCACACGAATGCCCTTCTTTTTCATACCTTCCACAAACTCATAAGGCGCAAGACCCTGCCAAGATTGCATGACCACATACAAGAACTTCCGAATGGTTAAGAGTAGCCAGACATAAAGTGTTCTTTGATTTACCCACGTAATGCTTCATGATAACTCACCCTGTCATAAGCATCCTTGAAGTAACGAGCGGCATCATCAATAGCTCCACCAAATCGGGGACCAATTGTTAGCAAACCTGTTTCAAACGTTAATTTGCTTTACTTACCCATTACAAGATCAGTATCTATTAGTACATTCTGGCAATTGAACTGAAGAGATAACCGAACTGTCACTTTGAAGAAGCCCCCAAAATCTATGACTTACCTGAAACAAGGCTGGACACCAGGTCTTTTCCAGCCCTAGCAGTTACGATGGTGTTGTGAGCACCTGAGACACAGGGACCATGGTCGGCACATAACATGATGCAAATCTGATGGAGGTCAAGACATGAGTGAGTAAACGGCAGCAACTAAAATATCAAACAACAAACTGGAAGAGGAAAACAGAATAAACAATCTTATCAACAAATTAACAAGTAATGCCTAGAGAAACAGGGATTAGCGGAAAACACCATATTAAAAAGAAACCAACCTCAATAAAACGAGTACAGTAGCGAGGAAGGCTGCGTTTGAACCACAATAGGGAAATCACATCACCCACACCAAAACCTTGTTCAACAATAGAGGACATTGGGACACCACCATAACATGGCTCTTCACCTGCAAATGAGATAAAAGACATGTCAGCACAGTTGGATTCCTGTGTAACTCCAAAAACACCTTGCTTCAATTGAAAATAACCATAGCCTGTCCATACCTCTATCATCAGAGATAGTGGAAATAATATGAGTTGGAGCCCGCACTTTCCCACTCTTAATTGCACTGTTAAGATCCTCTGGGATTTGTGGAGGTGTAACTTCCTTGATAGGTGTAATCTTGCCCTCCTCAACCTATGCAAGAAGCAACCAGGCACGCTTAGCAAAACAGGTGGTGGAGAAGGCAGCCCCCTTATATGCATCACATACGGGCCAAGATATGCCAAACTCACCAGTTTCACAAATGTTTCTTTGATCGCAGCTTCAAATGCTTCATATGAAGTGGGAACAACAGCTCCAGCTTCCTTAAGTGCTTGATTCTTCGCTTGTGCAGACTCCATCTCACCTCCACTCTTTGCTCCCTGATTTAGGCAGCAGAAATAAAAATTAGAGATATTGCCCATATGGTGGTAATGAGGGACAATCCCTCCTCCCCCCTCCCCAATGTATGTTTTTTTTTTTGGGAGGGGGAGCCCCTCCCCAATATACAGTTTTTTTTTTTAATATTTTTTTTTTGGGAGTGGGAGGGAGAGGGGTGGGGACTTGAACCCTTGACCTCAAGAAGGCAAAGCCTTCACAAGCTAAGAAGTACCATTAGACTAAGGGCTCATTGGTTTCCCCAATATACGTAAAGGAAACTAAATGAATATAAAAAATAAGTACAAGAAAACCAGAATAGTAGCTCACCGCATGGCCAAATTGCACTTCTGACTTGAAAAGCGTTGCGCATGTTCCGCTGACCCAAGCAACCACTGGTTTATTAATTNTAAAGGAAACTAAATGAATATAAAAAATAAGTACAAGAAAACCAGAATAGTAGCTCACCGCATGGCCAAATTGCACTTCCGACTTGAAAAGCGTTGCGCATGTTCCGCTGACCCAAGCAACCACTGGTTTATTAATTTTTCCCTGTTTGAGGGCTTCAACCAGGGAATACTCATCCCTTCCACCAAGTTCCCCAAGAACAACGATCATTTTAACCTAAGTTAGATCAGAATATCATGATTAAAAGACAGAAAAACAAACATAAAAAGGAGGAGTTCAATGGAGATGGAGAAATCAGTCAATGTCAATGTATAGAGTAAGGCTGGGATAAAGTTGCAAATTGAGATGCATACATGAATCCCAATGTTGAACTGAGCTAAGAAATTGGAATTGAGGTCCGACTTTTTTGTGACCTTTCAATATTTGATGGGATGGACACAGTGGGGGAAAAAGGAAAATTTTATTGCTTATGAGACCTTTTCCTGGGTTGCCTTGTCGAGGAATACAAGGTAAAGGTGCATTTAATATTTTTTGAGGCAGATCACATAGATAGCTTTCTCAGTCACAAGAAAAGCTTAACACACGACAACTCTTTGCTTGGAACACATTTAAAGGAATGAATACAAGACAATGATTTACCTGCGGAATGTTATTAAACCGTAGAACATGATCAGAAAGGGTAGAGCCCGGGAACACATCTCCTCCAATTGCAATACCTACAGAACATATATATGAACATCTGAATTATACTCTGATCAAAACACAACACTCGTGCATCCATGAAAACAATAACAAAAAAAATCAGGCATCACCTTCGTAAATTCCATCTGTCACACGAGCAATTGAATTGTATAATTCATTAGACATGCCACCCTGTAGTTAAAGAGGAAACTTGTAATTTCTTGCAACTGAAATCAAGCAGCTTTCACATCTACTCTTGCACATGGCACTCAGAAAAAAAAATAACTTTTAAGCCTTGTCCCAAATACAAAAGAATGTAATAGTCTGTGGTTTAATAGAAAATTTGGACACCGAGAGAGCAAAATAGTGGAACAACTTTCATCTGGCCAACTCCAAGTAATTGGAACTATGTTTTATTGAGGAGTTGAGTTGAGTTGAAAACATACAAAAGCTTGAACAATACAAAAGAACTGAGCATCATATCTGATATCAAATCTCAAAGGTAAAGACTACAGCTGATGAATGTATTTATTCATCATTATTTTGTTATGTTTTGTGAAATACAATAAGGGAATTTATAATACATCACATTCGTAACCTGTACATCTTTAATAGGCATCATAATATGATCAGAGAATACAAAATTCAAAAAATGTTATCAGGAAAAATTCAACTGCAGGATAATGGGGGTCAATAAGCATGTGGCACGCATTTTAATGATATCATACACATATTTTTTGATAGACAGGAGGGAAGCTATGGAATGATTACGCACAGATTTGGAGACAAAACCAACAGATCCAGGTCTGTACAGTTTACAGTGAATAATATTATCAATTGTTCCTGCAGTGTCGCCAATCTTAAAAGCTCCAGCTTGAATTCCTCCTACAGTAGCTGGGCCGATGACAACCTGCAAACTCAAATAAGCATCTCAATCAGATACATTCTTGATTCAAATCAAATTTTTTAAAGGAAGATCAAGTACACAACATCTACAGCTATGTATTCCACACCATTATTGTTCAAATCTCATATTGCATTTTTCTATCGAAAAAAAGACAGCATGGCCATTCTCTTCTCCTATGACCCAAAATTGTACTTAAGCCCTATATCAAGGAAGCCAAATCACAAAAAAGATATTGCTATAAATTTACCTTATTATTTGCCTTTGCATAAGCAATCAACTGCTTGGTGTCCAACTCGGGAACACCTTCAGCTATTATAGCCACAACTCTAACAGTTGGCTGTTTGAGAGCAGCCATGGATGAAGCAGCAGCACTGCAGAATTATTAACAAAATGATGAATACACAGTGCAAGAATGAATTTCAAACTTCAGAATAATCTGATATAAATGAGAACCAACCTTCTGAAAGATGCAAAGTTTATGAAGACATCAGCAGTGGGATGTGCAGCACAGGCGGCTTCAATGCTGTAAATCCAAAGAAATTTAAATAAATAAAGGAACTTTAAGCTCGGTAAAATCCAAGTAAAATGTTACGACACCACACGATGAAAGTATTTCAGCTCTCTTCTTTATGTTTATGTGTACATAAATCACACATAAGTTTTATGTTCATGTGTGCATAAATCACACATTGGTTTTAAGTGTTTGAAAAATGAAGTGAACTCACAGGTTTGCCAGGTGATAACTGTTTGCCACTGTTGATTATTTAAACATCAGGCGTACCACTAAACTAATCAAGAAAGCAAACTTTTATAAACTAGTCAATTGATTATGGTAAAATGCAATGTCCTAAGAAATGATATCTATCATACATGATGACTATCACCATAAAAGGTCAACCTCACCGAAACAAAGTAAATCTCTACATTAGAATAGAAGCATGTAAAGCAAACTCTCCCAATTCACATTAGAATTTCAAAATTTTATGCAAAGGTGAACAAGGAAGAATGAAAGCCAAAGAATGTGAAAGAATGAATCGCACGTTGAGTGTACTGGAATGGCGATTTCCTCCTGACCGAAAAAAAGTTTCTGGAATCCTTCGGCACCAGGATTTATAATTCCAGCAACTGAAGGTGTTTCCCTCCCTGCAAACACAGTGAATAAAAGAGTTCACCATTGCTGATCGACATTTCAACAATATGATTTAAGCACCCATATTTGTATGTAGCAACTCAACACTAATCTGCAGCAGTATGGGAATTAGTACACACCACAAAGGAAGTCAAAATCAAGCATCCGTTGGATTGGAAGTTGCTTGTAATTGTAGAACAATGCTTGTGTCGATTTGGAGAAAAGTTGTCCAGTTGCCATGGTGCTGGCTCAAAGAGACCTGTGTGCAGATAGAATATAGGGTGTGTGAGCTTTTCATGTTGGCCATAGTGACTGAAGCAGAAAGAAGACCCAATCACAGACTGAGTAAACTTGGACTCACCACAGGTAAACATGTATGCACACACAGAATATTCTGAGACTCTTTGGACTATTTCAACAGAAATATATATAAAGATCTCTCAGATGCATATACAGAACACCATCTAAAGTTCTCTCTGTGCCCATGTACCACTAGCTTGATTGGTGAGGTTGTCACTAAGCGAACCAATGAAGTGCTATGTAGCAATACCATCCCAGATGGACGGGATACAGAATCAGCATTTGCCATTACAAGCACAAAGCAGTTGCACTAATATTTCAATCAGCGATCGTTTTGGTTGTTAGCTATGTCAAAATTTGAATCAGTTACTCAAAATTCATCAAAGTACACTAGCAATCATGATGAATGAGCAAAACAAATGAACAACTGTTATCTATGCAGGAAAATGATCACCCCCAAAAGCAATCTTAAGCCAAAAATACCAAAATCAAAGAAATAACGCACCAGATCTTAAGGTAACAATGTATGTAGAACCAATAAGTAGATCTGATTCCCAACCTAACTGGACAGTTTAAAGCCTTGGAATCTTCACTAAAATACAAATCAAAGCACTTTGCTTCGAAAGTAACGAAAATAATTGCAAAACAGAGCAAAGATCCAAATTTTATAGAATTTCTCAATACAGACACGAAATGGAATCATAAACTTGATAGTAAAAGACGAAAAAACAGATCTCAGATTGAACAATTATGACTTTGTCAACAGGAATGAGGATAATAGGTACAAATTCAAGTTAGAAACTGATAGTTTTTACATAGGGATTGTACAGAATACCTGTGAAAGGAACAAAGAGCAAACTCGCCTCGTAAATTCAGACGAGCTGAGAGAGAAACGAATGCATCAATATAGGGAAGGTAGTGAAGTGGGAAATTATACAAACGAGAGAATGGGCTTTATGGCATACATGTTATTATTCTAAGAGGAGAGAGCAGCCACCGGGGAGGGAAGAGAGAGGTGGTCAGGCGGGTGGGCCATGATAATCAGCTCACCGATCCGCTAATTATATTTCTGTTTGTGAGTGTAGCTACTGCCGTTGAAGTTTTACCAGCCTAGAGAGAGAGATGGTTTGGGGGTTGGTGGCTCGGAGGGTGAGCTTGACTCTGGAAAAATAATTGGAAGGAGTCTAATTACTAAACTGCCATCCCGGGGTAGTGGCAAGCATTGAGAAGTAAGAACCCTCACTGACAGAGAGTACCGGAATAAATACTTTTAGGCATGTTTGTTTGAGATATAAGATTTTATATCTATTTTATTCTGATCCAATAATATATTTTATCGGTCTAAAATTATAATTTCAATCATTTCTCTTATTTATTTATTACAAATATTATCTGTGTAATACCAACTTAAAAAAATCAAAAAATTCAACTACTCAATATAAAAAGATAATTGTAACCTTCTAAAAAGTTAAAAATTGTAACCGATTTTTATATGGGGCATTGTACATGAGGGTATTTGAGTCTTTTTATTCTANCATTATCTGTGTAATACCTATTTAAAAAAATCAAAAAATTCAACTACTCAATATAAAAAGATAATTGTAACCTTCTAANTATTATCTGTGTAATACCAACTTAAAAAAATCAAAAAATTCAACTACTCAATATAAAAAGATAATTGTAACCTTCTAAAAAGTTAAAAATTGTAACCGATTTTTATATGGGGCATTGTACATGAGGGTATTTGAGTCTTTTTATTCTATTATACCTCCATGAAATTTATATCGAGAATATTATACCACCGGATAGGTGGTATTGTTTAGCACCGTATACAAGGCATAAAAGTTACTGTTCACACCGGGTCAATACTATGACCCAAAAATTAATACCGAGTAAAAAATGTCAAACAAACAAGATATAAAATAGATCTCACGTACTATTTTCCTTATTCTACCCTTATATTTCAAACAAACAGCCCCTTAGAGCATTTTTTTTCCCTAGATAATAGTGGTATTAGGTGGTCGGATAGTATACAATGATATTTAAGACCTACNGTAAAAAATGTCAAACAAACAAGATATAAAATAGACCTCACGTACTATTTTCCTTATTCCACCCTTATATTTCAAACAAACAGCCCCTTAGAGCATTTTTTTTCCTAGATAATAGTGGTATTAGGTGGTCGGATAGTATACAATGATATTTAAGACCTACTTATAAATGTTATTTATATCTAAAATGACATCGTTTTATATGTAAAATAATATTATTTTGATAAACAACATTCCTACTGTATAACAGAAGATCGATTTCTCATGTATTCCACTAATTATAATCAATTCATTTTTCTAGTATAAATCATTCAAACCATTCGTCTACGCTGAGCTAGTGGCGAATGTGGAGTGCATTAACACATTTCCCATCTGTAGCCAATTATGATTATTATACCAGAGTTTATTGACATTACGCAGCACCCCACGATTGACTGCAGCAACTACCCACCCAGTGCTGTTTGGACCGACATTATGCGTGATGAGTACGCGTAATTTCACTCAAATGAATAACCCACCAATATGGGATTGGCTCCACGCAAATCGTAATCAAACTGAGGTTCGACTTATTGACTAAATCAATACTTGTTGTTCACGAATAGTTGTAAATATTCATAATTTATTCTACATGTAATCCTGTTTTAAAGGTATTCCTTATTTAAATCAAATAATATAAATATTTTAATTTTAAGGTAAAACTTCAATCTTGTATGAGGGGGTTGCAAATACATTAATAAGACTACTATGTCAATTTCTACTACTCGAACTAATTATGGACATTGTTTTCATCATGTTTCGATTTTAACAAGGTCTATTGTGGACGGCTATATGCCATAAGAGTCGATGACAATTTGATTCCAATATCACCTTTTTATTAATTCTCATAATGCTAGATTAACCACCACAAATCTCTCCCAATTATTTTGTAAATGGCCGTCAAGGTTGGAACACCTTTGCGAGTTATGAAAAATACCATGTCAAATATCATCGAGGTGGTAACCTAGTTGACTTTTAGTATAAGGGTGAAAGTCCAATCCGTCATCCTCCAATAGCCATGAGTTCGAACTCACTTGCAATAGCAGTCCTTGTGAATCAAATACTGTTTGAAAGATTGAATATACCAAACTAATATTTATGGCTCAAATTGAACATTCTACAACGGGAGGAACCTCAAATTAATATCTTGAGGCTTAGTCGCCTCTAACCCCTCTTTGAACCAGCAAATAAAAAAGTACCATGTCAAATTATTTCAAAAAAAGTTCACCTTGTTAATGTATCCAAATATTGGTCATTCATGGAGTAATTGCAAGATATCTTTCAATTGCCTCACAATGGAAGAAGCCAAATCCCAACTGGAAATTCTGTCTGTTGAACTTGTTGCCCTCATCATTAATGGCATTTATTGGCCAAAAAAATTGTTGATCCACCCATCATCTCTCTATGATATGGCTCCAAATCCCCAAATATATGATATGGCTTCCACTAATACATGATAGATTATCTATTATTGATAAAAATTGAGAAAAAAATATATTAGAGTGTGACTCTCTATGATAGTAATGATCTTTGTGGCCCAAATATCACAATAGAGATCCACTTCATTATATATTCACTGAACCCATGATGATCTAGTCTCAGGCTTCCAACATACTTTCTATCTTTCTGTAATTTTGAAAAATTGAGTTTTAAGTGTAATAAAGAGAATCTGAATCCAATCTCCTCTCTCTCTCTCTCTCTCACACACACACACACAGTTTATAATAATGGACACTTGGCTGCACATTACCAGCACAAAACTTCAAACCTCAAGGCTTTAGGAGCAGAACTGATGGCTCCATTACATCAGTTTATGGAGGTCCAAAAGGACTGACATAGCAGCACATCACTGTTTCAGTGCTTGGGGTCCAGGTCTCACAAAGTACCAATAAAAGTTTCCTTTATTTTTTTCAGGTTTATCCTTACCCTTCTATCTGTCAACCTTTTCCAATAAATGAGTAACAGTATGGCTGCATCAAACATTGTCAACTAGCATAAATACTGCATTCATTGAATATCACTTTCTTAGGATTTGGGTTCACTGCTGTGGCCAAGGTTGCGAGATCAAGCCACATTCCCAGCAAACGGGAAAAAAAAAATAATGTACATAGTCATACCCTCGAATGTGAAATCATTTATTTGAACCTTTCATTGGTAAGCCTAGCATGAGGAATCCAGCATTGATAGTTGGGAAAGAAACATCCTAAAGCATTGACAACCTGATTAAAATTTCATAAATCAACACAAAACTCCAGATTTACGTCTTATTTCAACATATCGACCCCTAATTTGAAGAAAATAAATTTCAACCCTGACAGTTTTTTTGGAGCCTGTTATGATATAAATTATGAACCATAGTAAATCGAGGAAAATTCAAAATATTACATCAAAAGTACGTGATTGGCTAATTCTCAAGTACACTTCTCGAGGACACTGCTGAAGTAGTTGCGAGCCTTAATTAGTTATACTCAGAAGTAGTAACAAACCAAAACTAAACATTAAGTGAAAACAGGAACAAACTAGCTGTGGGAACCTAAATTAGTTCACCCTTCCAACTATCCAAAGGAAATAAGAGAAAACTAAATGAAAAAATTGTAGCCTCTCGAAGGAACAAATAGAAGATGGATATTGTTCTAGTAAAAGTAAAGTGCTATTATAATCAACTGCACATTAATGGACAAAAAATTAGGACTAACTTTCTGTGAATAGCCAATATAAGCTATTCAAGCAATTAACATGCACAGCAAACTTCCGGGATTTGCAGCCAATGTTTCATATTCTCTACAGAAAAACAGAAACATTAGTAGAAAGAAAGGAAGTGTAGTTTCAAAGATATTCCTTTTCTTTTCTTTTTTTTCCCTTTATTCTTTTCTGTTATGCACAATGTTAGAATCTTTCAGTATTAATAAAAAATTTGTGTGTCCGAGTCCTTCAAGTAAACTAGCTACGAGGGACCTTAAGAATCATTCAGACATAGCGCCACTACCTGGGCCTGTTGTGCCCCTCTAAATCCACTACAATTTCTAAGTAACACTAGGAAATAGGAAGTTACCTTCATATTAATTCCTATAGCTTTTTGACAGGTCCCACCAGTGCAAGAGATTCCATAAGTGCCATTAGAAGATGATCAGGGTAATCCTCAATGCAAGCATGTCCATGCTGGGATTGCATAGAATTTAAAACCCTTCCAACTATCTGAATAAAACGGATATATAAATGGAGTTACAAGGCATTACATTGACAATTCCAAAGAACAAAGCATTGAGTTCACATTAGAGAAGAGAAACTTCTATAACTCCCGCTGAATATAGAGACAAAATAGAGAACAAAATTAACCTTCCGTGCATAGCCACCGTAAGCTACCCCACCAATCAAAGCATGCGATGAACTAAGTGAATCCAAAGCCAATGTTTCATCTTTTGATTTCTCCAGATAAAATGAATAATGGTTAGTAGAAAGAAAGATTAACAGATGGTAACTAAATGAGTACAGGCAAAAAAATCAATAGGAAAGGAAGGGGTAAGATAAGACTAGTACTACTTATGGTTGTCGTTTGGAAAAGTCTCTCTGCTCTCAATCCTTGAACTGTGTGAGCATTAGTACCACCAGCCAATTGAAGAAAACCTACCAAGTTAAAAGAATGCCTAGAGTATTGAAGCAGACCAATGAAAAAAACACATTCTGACAAAATAATACAATTCTATGTGCACAAACCATGAGGTTTGTCCTTAGCAGCAGCCAAACGAACAGCAAAGGCAATTGCTTCCCTTGTAGCACCTCGCCCAATGTCTCCACTCATAGGCCGACCATCCAACTTTGTTTGGCACAATATGTACAATTTGTCAGCAATCTAACAAGGTTTATGATGTTTTTTCATTTGAATTTCTAAAAGCTATAGATTGCACACCTGCCATAAATTGAAGCAACGTAGGTTGGGTTCCATTATAGAGTACATCGTGTTCATTAAAGATATGGTTGGTTCCCCGATATCAGGTAAGCTAACCTGGACTTATTAAAGATTAGTTTACAATGACAGAGACTCAATGTGATATCAATTGATTCATGATTTTATTATTAATGATCAACATTACTCACTGCCACAAGCCTCAGATAACTAACAGAATCTCCTAAACCGTTCCAAAGCTCTTCGAACATAGCAGTCCGCCTACAAATAAATGTGGTGTGCATCATCCACTATGGATTTCATCTAGTTACATGAGGTTTCAAAGAACATCCAATGTAAATGAAGTGCCCAATTGTGCTTAGTAAATCACTGACAGTATATCATTTGGTCTTGAACATTTGCAATGGGATTATCAACTTGAATGCAAAAAGTACTAACACCTCCATTATAAAAGCTAAAATTGTACATTAAATGCATTGAGGAACAAAATTTTATTAGCATGAAATGTGGAAATTATTAAATTTTTTGAGGACTCCAAGGATATCTTCCACCAGTTCAAAAAAAAAAAAAGGGATACCTGCCACTTGTATGTATCTCCACAGCATCAACATCATCTCTTTTGAGAAGTTCAGCCGTAGCAGTAGCATCTCTTACGTATGTATTGGTTCCTAGATCAATAGCCCATATTTAATTGAATCAAAAACAATCATAAGGATATAATACTCAATGCACTAGATGATGGAGGAAATAAAATCTAAATATACAATATAGTCTTGATATGTTGGATGGCAACATCACCAATGGTTTAACCTCAAGTGTTTCAGGGGTTTGTTGAAGATGCAAAACGAGAGGCCAATTTAGAAAAAGTAAAACAGAAGAAGAAAGGAAACTATTCTCACTTATTCTATCATATGGACAAACAGGAAAGCAACGGCCACAGCCATAGCAGCGTTCAGTCACTACTCCACCCTGCACATTGATGTTAGCCTTTGTATTCACTTGTGAACAATATGAATAAGGGGTCATATAGTTGGAAGCTCAACCAAACAATGACAAAGAAGAAAAGCACCTTGACTAGACTAGATGTGTTCTCCAGAGATATTGCATTAGCAGGACAAACAATCTCGCACGGTCTTGAGCAATCAGGTGGACAATCATTTGGATCAAATTCTGCTAAGATGGTAATAAGTTAGCTCAGACAAAAGAAAACGGTGATGCTTTAAGTGATAGTGAACCAAAATGATAATTTGTCCCTTTTCCTGCGACATTTGCAAATCTCTTCCTCTGATTTATTCATTTTGTACTAGGTGGATTTGGATATACTACTGAATTGATGAAACAAGGGACAATGGCCAATCCCAATAAGTGAACTTTCTAACAGATATTCAAAGATAACACCAGAAAACAACTTGACGTAGTCAAGGCATCACAATTTCTTTAACTTTCATATTTTTCATGAACAAGAGTTGACTTGAGGTTGACAATTAACTTACATCAGCCATTTTCCTAAAGCTATTAACCATTATTTGATATCTAGTTAACTGTAAAAATCACATTCCCACAACTGACAAATGAACAAAATGCAAACTTCATCCGGAAAATTGTAATTACTATCAGCTTAGGCCCTTTTATAGCTAATTCACCTCTCATTGTCCTTTTTGGCTATAATTTTTAAAGGTGCAATTTCATGCAATTTGTACTTTCAAGAAAAACAAGCTCTACTTGCTTCTGCTTTTATTTGGACTAGGGCCTGCAATATCAGCCAACAGGCACCTCTCTCTCTCTAAGTTACTATATTCAGATGTATTTCTTGTTTGTAACAAGCACACATTTTTCCATTATGAATAAATATGCTAAGTTTAATTACCATCACATATAATTGGGGGTGAAACTTACCAGCTTTACGAAAGTGAAGATCTTCATCATCATTAACACTGATCATTACCCAAGGCCTTCTAACGGGTACAATACCTATTGCTGCTTCAATCCCTTCATTCACCGCACTCACCACCGATGCATCGGCAGCGCAATCAATGCAATCAACTACAATCATTAGTATAGAAATAGTTTCAAAACTAAATTACATTTCAAACACGGTGGATTAAAACAAATATTATAAAGCCAACAGTTCAAACTTCATGGAGTTTCTTACCTCCAGCTAGAGTGTACACCAAAGAGAGATTCCTGATATCAACCACATCCTAGAGAGAGAGAGAGAGAGAGAGAGAGAGTTAAAAGAGAAAGATTCCTGAAGAAGACGGTGGAAAGTGAGACGTTCAAGGTGGTGTTGGAGGGATTGAATTGATAAGGTACCTCGAAGCTCGCACCACAAATGAGCTTGACCCAGTTGCCTCTTTGGAGGGATTCGTGTGGGGAAGTTGTGATCGAAGGAACTCCGGTCTTTGTTACAAGGTTTTTCACTTTTTCAAGGCCTTTGTTGTTGCCGTGATTGAGCTGAGCTGTGACTGAAAAAGCAGAGGAATGAAATGTGTATTCACACGCATACAAACATAAATACATACATAGAGAGAGAGAGAGAGAGAGAGAGAGAAACCTTGCAGTCGTGTTTTAAAGGAAGCATAGCAATAGAAACTGAGAGCCATCCGGGGCGTAGACGAAAGGATATCCTCTAAAACGATATTAACAACTGAAATTTGTTAAGGTGAATTTTGATACTGTTCAAAATAAATAAAAAATCAGACAACTCTTTTCTATTAGTTTTTTATTTTATAAAAATTATATTTCAGATGCTATATAAAAATTATAACTTTATAAACAAATTAAGTTTTTATTATAATTTTTAGTACAATTAATTATACAAATCGATTTAACATTAACTAATTACTAAGAATAAATTACATAAATAACCCTCACTGTAATTCTTGTATCACATCTTTAAACTAATTTTATGTCAATTAAATTCCTAAACTCTAAAATTTAAGTAATTAAATTCTTCAACTAATTTTCATGTCAATTGAATTTATAAACTCTAAAATTTTAGCAATTAAATCTTTCTATTAGTAGCCGTTATATTTTTTTACGAAATATCTCACGTGCTCAATCCATAAACAATAAATTAGGGGTATTTTAGATTGTTGGTTTGAAATCTATAAAATGAAAACTTTCATTTCTAACACCTACAAAATTAAATTTCTAAACTTAAACATCTTTCATACTCATCGCACGAAAACATATCAATAAATTATTTAATTTGGTGTAAAAAATAGATTACAAAAATATAAACTTTTCCAAGAGTCGATTGATCTGCTTTGTTTAATGGATATAAAAAAGATTTAAGTTTTATAATTTTGACCGAGGGATACAAGGAATGGAATTTTTCATTTGGTAGGTTTCAAATGAATAGTTTAAAATATCTCTAATACGTGAGATATTCATTCAAAAAGCATAACTATTGCTGACATAAGAGTTTAATTGCTAAATTTTTTGAGTTTAGGTGTTATTTGTGTAGTTTACTCAATCATTAAAAACGATACATAATCTCAGTCACGTGAGGCTCACGTGTCTGATCCCCTAACCAATTTTAGCCGAATTGAACAGGCTCATCCGGTCATAACACTCTCACTCTCTTCTTCCAAGACGTTCGACCTCATAAAATCCAACTGGATAAAAGTCTGGTAATGAAAGATTCATCAATCTTAGCTTCGAATTGAAAATCTCAGCGCCACCAACAATGCTGGCCAAAGCAGCGGCGGCGCCACCACCGATAACCTACAAATTTGGGGATTTTAATATCCAGAATCGTAGTTTTAGTAATGGCAATGGGAATAGAAGTTTGAAATTGAAAACGAAGAGTCGTAAGAGAGCGGTGGTTGTGGTTAGAGCTGGTTATAGTCAGAGGCCGTTGGAAACTCCCGGAGCTTATGAGCTCATCGACGATACGACCGGTGAGAAGTTCATAATTTGGGGAGGAATTGACGGCAAAGACAACGGCAACCGACAATTTTCTATCCCTTCCGAGGAAGTTCTGTCTTGGAAACCTAAACCCTCGAGCAACTACGACAATAGAAGCAGAAATGTTACTACTAGTTCTATTTCCGGCGAAGATGAGTTCAAGTTCAACAGCAATAAAAACAACAGGGCAGCTACTAATAGAAGTGGTGACAAAACAGGTGCTTTATCAGTGAGGAAATTCTATCGATATTGCACATTCGAGAATTTTATTTATACCCATATGTTACATAATTGAGAATTTTGTTTATATATCAGTGAGGGAATTCTCACTCATTTTGTTTAGTTAAGCAATCACTACCAAGAAATCCTTTTTTATTCCCTGTTTTATTTCTTTCTATCCATCCAAGTAACTCTAGGTGTGCTCTTTATTTTCTGACACTTTGTTCCCTTTTTTCCATTTTAAGTTATTTCGACATACAAACTTTTATTGTCAGCACTCCTGAAAGCCATCATATCAGAACTCTGCAGTTAAGCCCTCTTGGGTGAGGGGGGAAGTTGTGTTGTACCCTTTTTATCCTTTCAAAAGGCACTTCAAAAAAAGAAAAGAAAAGATTTTGGGTGTTTACTTGGAAACAAGTAACCGAAGAGAGTCAACCATAAACTCACACACACAAACAGGGGATGGTGTGGGTCTGCTTGTTTTATACCGACAATTCTCAATCATTGAGCATGATCATGATCTTGCACTAAATGATTGCAAGAACATTAAAATTTATTTGTTAACACACTGATATAGTTTTCATTTTCCACATTATACCTGCATGGCAAATTGNCATTTTAAGTTATTTCGACATACAAACTTTTATTGTCAGCACTCCTGAAAGCCATCATATTAGAACTCTGCAGTTAAGCCCTCTTGGGTGAGGGGGGAAGTTGTGTTGTACCCTTTTTATCCTTTCAAAAGGCACTTTAAAAAAAGAAAAGAAAAGATTTTGGGTGTTTACTTGGAAACAAGTAACCGAAGAGAGTCAAAGCATAAACTCACACACACAAACAGGGGATGGTGTGGGTCTGCTTGTTTTATACCGACAATTCTCAACCATTGAGCATGATCATGATCTTGCACTAAATGATTGCAAGAACATTAAAATTTTTTTTGTTAACACACTGATATAGTTTTCATTTTCCACATTATACCTGCATGGCAAATTGTTTATTATCAGGTAAGTAGTCTCTTTTGATTGTCTGAAAGTAAAACTCTATGGCCTACTTTTTATCTTTGCATATCAGTTCTCGAATTCTAGTTATGCTTTGCAACATTATGTTCTGAAGGTTGCATGCTTTTGTGGTTCCATAGCCTACGGCAGGGGAGTATCAGGAAGTTTTGGAAGATTGAAAGCACAGAAAGTAAGGGATCATGTCAGAAAAAAATACGTGATGAAGCAAGAAGTCAGCAGGAACGATTACATTGAACAAGATGCTCCTTCCCATGGATCTATGAGTTCAGACTATGAGTCTGATGTCGTGGATGAACTCAAGGGACCATATGTTTATAGACGTAGAAATAATGTTTCAAGAGCAATCCAATCACAAAAATTCATGACAAGAGACAATGTGGTCCCTCTTGAGAGCAATGGAAAACATGGAGTTCAACAAATGCCAACAAATCAATCTACAACATCAAAATCTCAAGAGTCTGACCTCCGCATAGCTGGACGGCCCGGACCAAATGTTTCTGTTTCCAGAGTTTCTGCTTCTTCCTTTACAAAATGGGGCAATGGAGAGTTGATACATAAATTTGGATCTGAGGCGCGAGAAATCTCTAATAAATGGAGAAAATCAAATGCTGACATTGATTTTTTTAGTAGAAAATCCTTCAGAGATCTGGGGTGCAGTGATTATATGATTGAAGCCTTGAAGAGTCATCATTTCCAACGGCCATCGCATATTCAGGTACATAAACAGTGTTTCAAACTGTAAATAGAATATCACGATCACCATTTCAGCCGCTGCCACTCTGGTTATGAGTATTGGGATGCAGATATGAAAATGATGTGTTAATCTATATGATCATGTAGACCCAGCCTCTCACTGTGACTACACTTTGGGATCCAGGCTATGGACTTTATTTTGCCATTATATGACATGTAGAATCTCTTCCATGTAAAATGGGTGTTGTGGCCTGTACATTTTGCATTTTAGGGAAATCGTTGTGTAGTGGATGTGCATCGTTGGATGCGATTCAACGTATCAGCTTTTTCCTTTGAGTAGTATTTCCTATGAAAGAGTCAAACAAAAATATGGTTGAGCCCCTTCATTTTTGCTGCGTATGATGATTTTATACACTCAGAGAGTTTGATAACTGGTTAGTTTATCGGATTCTGATATGAAATACATCAATTTCTGTAAGAGTGTGTCTTTTGAACTGTTATACAGTAAAGCTCAAATTTGCCCTTTTGTCAGTTAGCACATTGCGTATGCACTCCTAGATATGAGTAAGCCAATCGTATTTTCTACTTAGTATTGAAGATCACTGCAGGCTATGGCATTTGCATCTGTTACTGGGGGAAAGAGTTGCATTATAGCTGATCAAAGTGGATCTGGAAAAACTTTAGCGTATCTTCTACCAGTGATTCAGCGCCTTAGGCAAGAAGAGCTCCAAGGACTCGGCAAATCTGTTTCGCAGAGTCCTCGAGTTATTGTATTGGTCCCAACTGCAGAGTTGGCATCTCAGGTCCGATAAGATTCAGCTATCTCGTTTCTTTGTTTTTTAGTTTTTAGCGTTATCATTTTCTTTAACGTCTATACGATTTTCTTGTCTTTTGCCTTTATTATTTCTAAGAAAATGATTCCTTTGGGGGCTATTAACAAAATGATTACTAATTGTATGTCAGTCTTTCTGTTGGTGAGCCTAAGTTCTTGGGCTTGAAAGATGTAGTATTGCTTTTGACTCTTGTTTTGTTTGTTTTCCCTCTCTTTTGGATGGCTTTTTGGTTACTGATTTTGAACATATTTCTGTCAATTGACCTCGTGTATTATTATATTTGACCCACACTCAAATGAATTAAGTCCAGCGCAATTTAGACAATTTGGTGGGGCATTTTTTCTTTGTAGATGTAACCTGAGCTCACAATGGAAGCAAAGTATTTTCCCTTTTGTATGTTTATGCAAGCCTTGTATTCTTCAACTGGGTTACCTGGGGAGTTGATTGACTGATGGTTGTGTTTGAGATTTTGATGTAGGATAAGTGCTTATTATTTTTCTTCACTTTTTCCTTTTCTGCTTGGTACGGATTAGTTTAGTTTTAGACACTGAAATTAGGAGAAGAGCTCAAATCACAAAGCAGATCCATTCGTTTGCTGCTACTAAGTGAAGAGGATTCAAAATTTTCTTACTGTTGCAGGTTCTAAGTATTTGCCGCTCGTTGTCAAAGGTTGGTGTCCCATTCCGGTCTATGGTTGCAACTGGTGGTTTTCGACAGAGAACACAGCTGGAAAATCTTCGACAGGATCTAGATGTTCTAATAACTACCCCTGGTCGTTTTGTCTACCTATTAAAAGAAGGCTTCTTGCAGTTAACAAATCTGAGATGGTAACTGACTGAAGCTTTCTTTGAATATTGTGTCAATTACTTTCTTATTTTGTTTTGCTCTATCCTCATCTCCGTGATTACGGTCTTCATCATAGTCAATAATGTAGTAGCATAATGATCATTAGGAATAAATATCCACACACATCAAATGTATTTATCTATGTATATGTGTTTGCTAGCAATTCGAGTCCATCAAGCCCATATCCGTAGTTAAGATGCGGGCACATAATGCATTATTTTATAACCTATGAGGGTATGAGTCTGGATACTTTAGATTGCAGAGATAAGAGGGGTGCTTGCATGTTTTAAATTTTCGTGTATTTTGCATCCATTGATCCCTTGACGTGGGACTACAAGCCAAGTTCTACATCAGTACTAGCTTGTTAAACAGATAAGATCAGAAGTTGCTATAGTAGCAATATTTCTGGCGATGCATGCATTTATAGGTTTTGACCACTAGTGGTGTAGAACTTCTCCATATTTCCTGATCTGATTTTTGTCAAAGAAAAACACAAGTTGCGGCTTTTGACCCACTCAATGATAGTTAAGTCTCTTGCTGTTGCACAAAATGCATGGCCAATCAGTTCTTTCTTAATTTTGAATTCGATATCTTTGGGGTACAGGTTTTTGTGAAATTAATTCAAACCTTGTTTTTCAGCGCTGTGTTGGATGAAGTAGATATACTCTTCAATGATGAAGATTTTGACCCAGCATTACAAAGTTTGATAAACTCTTCACCTTTTACCACACAATTTCTCTTTGTAACTGCAACTTTACCTGTAGACATATACAACAAGCTAGTTGAGGTTTTTCCGGACTGTGAAGTTATTATGGGACCTGGTATGCACCGAACAAGCCCCGGCCTTGAGGAGGTACGTTTCTATAATTTGTCACTTCATAGCTCCTTCCATCTGAAAAAAAGAACAAAAATGCCAGCCCATGAGCTTCGTTCAGAGGCTTTGGTGGTAGCGTTCTTGAAATCATTTTTCTTCAAGCTTGCATTGAGGGAAAGAGTAGGCTGGAGACTAGCTAGAATTGAGTTCTGTGTGCTTTTTTTTTTGTTGATAAAAAATGAATAGTCTATGTATCTGTGGGGCATTTGTTCCCCCTTTAGGTAGCAATCAAATAGATGAATTTCACTGATTCACGGTGGAGTGCCAATCATTTCTCATCTATCATGTCAAAGATGGATGAATTCCCCATGATAGTATTTCCATATTTCTTCTTTGGCTGTCTATCCAATCATCGGGTCATTATAGGGTAGATTTTTGTACTTATCCCAAGTCAGATGGTGGGATGACGTACTCTGCATTAGGGCATTTTGTTCAATGTAAATAGCATTTTCAATGTTATCGAATCTTGTAGCTTCAGAGTCCTCCATTTCTTGTTTGATAGCATCATGATGCAGCAAATAAAATTCTTTTAGTAACAAACATAGGGCGGACAGGGAATCAGGTTCCAATGTGTTCAAGTGGAGTGGACAACTTACTAGCCTTTATATGATGTGATTAAAAACAATCAGAGAGTTGTTTCATGGATTTTGGTAGAAAAAAGGAAAAATAGAGATGAAGTCAATTACAAGCGTACTAAACACCAATGAAGCAAAGCCACACCAAACTGGTCAATATGACCATTTCAAAACTCCTTTTGTAATAAGGAGTTGTCAGTAACAAGCTTGTTATGTAGTCATTCTAATTAGATGGCATTTCCAGATTCTTGTAGATTGCAGTGGTCCTGAAGGAACAGAAAAAAATCCCGATACAGCGTTCTCCAACAAAAAATCTGCTCTTCTGCAGCTTGTTGAGGAGACTACAGTTGCCAAAACGATTGTTTTCTGTAACAAGGTAAGCCTGGACATGGTCTATCCTGAACCTACGTTATCATGTTCTGTTTCTTTAGTATATATATTTCTCGGATTCTATATTAGGTTTGGCATATTGGCATCTACAGATTGAGACGTGCAGAAAAGTTGAAAATGCCTTGAACCGATATGATAAAAAAGGAATTCATATGAGAGTTTTACCATTCCATGCTGCTTTGGCACAAGAATCTCGGCTTGCAAATATGGAGGAATTTCGCAGCTCTCAGTTGAAGGATAGCTCTCTCTTTTTGGTGTGCACAGATAGGTACTGTGGTTCCTTATGTTTCCTTTTCTTTCATTTGCTTTTAGATTTTCCATTTTTAAGTTTAGTGAGCCATTCTTGATGTATAAGATTTGGTCTTTTTATTTTCCTTTCCATCACTAGAAGTGAACAGCGTGAACATTGCAGCTTGATGCTTCTGAATTCTTTCGCAGAGTTTCTCGTGGGATTGACTTTGCGGGTGTGGATCGTGTTGTACTCTTTGACTTTCCTCGTGATCCAAGTGAATATGTACGCCGCGTTGGAAGGACTGCCAGAGGTGCTGGAGGAAAAGGGGAGGCATTTATTTTTGTGGTTGGTAAGCAAGTTTCTCTTGCAAGGAGGATAATTGAAAGAAATAAAAAAGGCCACCCGTTGCATGATGTGCCTTCTGCATATGAAAATTCTCGTATGTAATGAACTGAAAGGACGAGACTTTACTTACTTGATCTATTTATGATCGAATTATTTTCATTTAAGAAAATTAGTAAACTGGGGTATGACAAATATTAGGTTTTCATGTGGAGATCCATAGGAAATGCTCGGTAGAGATGCAAAGGATCCCAATTCCCCCTTTCTAAATGGTATGGGTTTACTGTTCAAAAACCTCAGGACTTGATTACGGTACAAAAAAAAAATCGGTATTATACCTCTAAAATTTATTACTTTGATAGGTATTTTTTACAATTTTTATAGGTCATTTTGCAACAAAAAAATTTACTATTTTTGTTAGTGATTTATCACTTTTACGAGTGTTTTTATTNTTTGCCAAAACGATTGTTTTCTGTAACAAGGTAAGCCTGGACATGGTCTATCCTGAACCTACGTTATCATGTTCTGTTTCTTTAGTATATATATTTCTCGGATTCTATATTAGGTTTGGCATATTGGCATCTACAGATTGAGACGTGCAGAAAAGTTGAAAATGCCTTGAACCGATATGATAAAAAAGGAATTCATATGAGAGTTTTACCATTCCATGCTGCTTTGGCACAAGAATCTCGGCTTGCAAATATGGNGTTGCCAAAACGATTGTTTTCTGTAACAAGGTAAGCCTGGACATAGTCTATCCTGAACCTACGTTATCATGTTCTGTTTCTTTAGTATATATATTTCTCGGATTCTATATTAGGTTTGGCATTTTGGCATCTACAGATTGAGACGTGCAGAAAAGTTGAAAATGCCTTGAACCGATATGATAAAAAAGGAATTCATTTGAGAGTTTTACCATTCCATGCTGCTTTGGCACAAGAATCTCGGCTTGCAAATATGGAGGAATTTCGCAGCTCTCAGTTGAAGGATAGCTCTCTTTTTTTGGTGTGCACAGATAGGTACTGTGGTTCCTTATGTTTCCTTTTCTTTCATTTGCTTTTAGATTTTCCATTTTTAAGTTTAGTGAGCCATTCTTGATGTATAAGATTTGGTCTTTTTATTTTCCTTTCCATCACTAGAAGTGAACAGCGTGAACATTGCAGCTTGATGCTTCTGAATTCTTTCGCAGAGTTTCTCGTGGGATTGACTTTGCGGGTGTGGATCGTGTTGTACTCTTTGACTTTCCTCGTGATCCAAGTGAATATGTACGCCGCGTTGGAAGGACTGCCAGAGGTGCTGGAGGAAAAGGGGAGGCATTTATTTTTGTGGTTGGTAAGCAAGTTTCTCTTGCAAGGAGGATAATTGAAAGAAATAAAAAAGGCCACCCGTTGCATGATGTGCCTTCTGCATATGAAAATTCTCGTATGTAATGAACTGAAAGGACGAGACTTTACTTACTTGATCTATTTATGATCGAATTATTTTCATTTAAGAAAATTAGTAAACTGGGGTATGACAAATATTAGGTTTTCATGTGGAGATCCATAGGAAATGCTCGGTAGAGATGCAAAGGATCCCAATTCCCCCTTTCTAAATGGTATGGGTTTACTGTTCAAAAACCTCAGGACTCGATTACGATACAAAAAAAAAATCGGTACTATACCTCTAAAATTTATTACTTTGATAGGTATTTTTTATAATTTTTATAGGTCATTTTGCAACAAAAAAATTTACTATTTTTGTTAGTGATTTATCACTTTTACGAGTGTTTTTATTTTTTATCACTGTTGTGATAATTATTTTTTATCACTTTTCTTTGGTACAAAATAAAATAAACACTTTTGTGGGTGATTTTATACATTTGTGAGTATTTTTATTACTATTATAGATATTTTTATCACTTGTGGTAACTATTTTTAACACTTTTTTTTAGTACCACACCAGTGATAAAAACACTCACAATAATAATAAAAATACTCGCAAATATAGTATTTGATTCATTTATTAATTTGTGTCTAATGTGTCGTATTTTTTTTTATTAATCATGTCGTATCGAGTTCACTCAATTATAAAATAGTGGGTTTAAAAAGATTTAAACTTTTTAATTTTGCTCATATTAATGGGCGGTGTCATATTTTCCTTGCAGAATCCAAACAAAAAAAGTAAGAAAAATTTTAACCACTCCTTCTATTTTTAAGGACATGCCCTCTATTTTTTGAATTTTTAGTGACACTCCTGTCAGATTAAAAATATTAATTAAAATACAATTTTATTAAATTGTACATGATATATTTGAGGATAAACTTCGTTCACATTCCCTTCAAGTAAGTATATCTTCAATAAGACCTCCTGTAGATAAACATATCTTCAATGAGATTCCTCTATTTTCTAATTTTTTTTTTGTATTAAAATTTGAATCAATTAAAATTCGATTCAAACTAATTAAAATTTATATTTTTACATATTAAAATTTGAATCAATTAAAAATTACAATTTTTACGTATTAAAATTCTGGTTATTTAAAATTCTATTTGAGCCAATCAAAAATTATTTTTAATTGACTCAAATTAAATGTTAATCAATTCATATTGAATTTTAATCAGTTCAAATTTTAATACATAAAAAAATATAAAATTTAATTAACTCAATTTTAATAAATCAAATTTTAATAAATAAAAAAATATAATTTTAATTGACTTGAAAGCGAATTGTAATCGACGCTACAACTAGGGTAGAATTCAAATCGACTCAAATTTTAATATGTAAAAAATAAATGTTAATAGTCGCGAATTTTAATGAGTTAAAAAAATCAAATTTATTCAGCTTCAATTGAATTTTAATTGGTTCAAATTTTAATATGTAGAAAAATAAATTTTAATCGGTTCGAATTTTAATAAAATTTTATATAGAAAAATTACTTGAGGTTTATGTAGGGGTATTTTTGATATTTTAGATGAATTGTTTTTGATTAGAAATGATAATTTAATGGTGGGGTGTTAGTGATGTTTAAATATAAATTAAAAGAGGTGTCAGTGATATTTGTGATAATAGAGGTGGTATTTTTGAAGATATAATAAATTAAGAGGGATGTGATTGAAATTTTCCCAAAAGGTATGGGTTGGGGAGCATCGACAGTTCAACAAAGAAGAAGAAGAAGAAAATTACGTCTATGTTTTTATTCCTTAAACACTATTTGATGGCGTCATAATTTCGAAACTGTAACTAATAAATTAATCAATGTCAAATAACAGCACTTGGACGTTACCTTTCCCACCATTTCTCTCTATGAACTCCTTCCATAACGTCTGAAACTCGTCATCCCTAAAACACGAACACTATACCGAAAGAAAATCAAATACCCAAAAGATCAAATGGGTAGAAAATTTCTGAATTGAACGGAGAGAGACAATCGGCTCCGTTTTGCTCTGACCAATAGATGAGAGTCAAGGTGGGAGCTTGTAGATCTCCAGTTTTATGCAAATGAAAAATGGTTTAGATTGGTGGATTAAGTGCAGTAGAACTGAAAAAGGTCATCTTCTCGTCAATACCCTCCAAAGGGTGTTTTCATTCAGATATGAACTTTAATACCCAAATTTTATTTTCTTTTACTCTCTTATTTTTCATGATAAACACTGCCCATTCATCAAAAGATAGCTCTGTTTCAAACTTGGATTCCTTTGTGTTGGCTTGTGGTGCTTTGAGTTCTGCCACAGATGCCAACGGCCGAAAATGGGTTCCAGATTCCGAAGTCGTCACTTCTTCAAATAATTCAGTGATTGCTACTGCTCAATCCCAGGATCCTTCATTGCCTTCTACAGTTCCTTACATGACTGCAAGGATTTTCAAATCTCAAACCACTTACAAATTTTCAATCTCTCCCGAGAGTCGCCATTGGGTTAGACTACATTTTTATCCATCTTCTTATAACAATTTCAATCCATCCGACTCTTATTTTTCAGTAACTGCCAATCAGTTCACCCTTCTGAAAAACTTCAGTGCTTCAGTTACAGCCCAAGCTCTAACACAAGCATATATTATCAGAGAGTTCTCCATCATTCCAATCCAATCTGGCTTTCTGAATCTGACTTTCACTCCATTGACACAAAGTGGTTCTTTGGCTTTTGTCAATGGCATAGAGATAATTTCCATGCCAGAAATTTTCCAATCAACACCTATGGTTGAGTTTTCGGACCACTCCATTGATGCAGAGAACTCCACTTTGCAGACAATGTTTAGGCTGAATGTTGGTGGGCAGTACATCCCGGCAATCAATGATTCCAGGCTTAGCCGGACATGGTATGATGACTCACCATATCTATATGGTGCAGCCTTTGGTATCACCTCCGAGGCTGATAAAAATGTGACAATTGCATACACTCCTGATGTACCAAAGTACATAGCTCCTGTTGATGTTTATAGAACAGGAAGAACGATGGGCCCAAATGCAAATGTTAATCGAAATTTCAACCTCACATGGGTTTTCCAAGTTGATGGTAATTTCACTTATCTTGTGAGGTTTCATTTCTGTGATTTTCTGCTTTGGAGGGTTAATCAGAGGGTGTTTGATATTTTTGTCAACAATCAGACAGCAATTTCAAATGCAGATGTGATTGCATGGACAAAAGCCAAGGGAGTGCCAGTGTACAAGGATTTTGCAGTTTATGTTGGTGATGGAAATGGGGATGAAGAATTGTGGGTGACCTTGCAACCTAATGTCTCGATGAAGCCTGAGTTCTATGACGCAATTCTAAATGGATTGGAGATTTTTAAGATCAATGACACAAGTGGGAACTTGGGAGGCCCAAATCCTGTGCCATCACCTCTGCTTCTCGTGCCCGAGTCTCAGCAAAGGCCATTTGAACCATCAAAATCAAGTAATCATGGAAAAATAATCGGTGCAATTGCAGGTGTGGTGGCTGGCTTTGGTCTAGTAGCTGTTGTCATTGTTTCTGTCAAGCATAGGAAGAGAAAAGGCAGAGAAAAATACTCAAACTCATCTGGTTGGTTCCCAATCTATTGCAACTCTCACTCTTCAGGAATTGAAACAACGATATCAGGCAAGAGTAGTGGCTGTAGCAGCATTTCCAGTGGCCTCTGTCGACATTTCACAATTGCAGAGATAAGATTGGGCACCATGAACTTTGAGGAGTCTCAAGTTATTGGGGTTGGAGGATTTGGCAAGGTCTATAAAGGCAACATCGATGGAGGGACCGAAGTTGCAATCAAAAGGGCAAATCCCTTATCAGAACAAGGGGTTAATGAGTTCCAAACTGAAGTTGAACTGCTTTCAAAGCTACGACACCATCATTTAGTTTCACTGATTGGAGCTTGTGAAGAAAGCAATGAGATGATTTTGGTTTACGATTACATGGCTAATGGTACTTTAAGGGAGCATCTCCATAACAGCAATGCCAATAAGCCTCCGTTGTCTTGGAAGCAAAGGTTAGATATTTGTATTGGTGCTGCCAAGGGACTTCACTATCTTCACACTGGTGCTAAGTACCCCATCATTCACAGGGATGTGAAAACTACGAACATTCTGCTGGATGAGAAATTGGTTGCGAAGGTTTCCGATTTTGGCCTCTCAAAAACCGGCCTTAGTCTCAACCAAACCCATGTTAGTACAATGGTGAAAGGTAGTTTTGGCTACTTGGATCCAGAGTATTTTCGACGCCAAAAACTGACAGAAAAATCGGATGTGTACTCATTCGGGGTAGTCCTTTTTGAAGTTTTATCTGGAAGGCCAGCGCTTAATCCTTGCCTGCCAAAGGAACAAGTTAGTCTTGCAGATTGGGCACTACAATGCCACAAGATGGGCTATTTGGGGAACATTATTGATCATTATATTGCAAGTGAGATTAGTCCCGAGTGCTTGAAGCACTTTGCAGAAACAGCTGCGAAATGCTTGTGTGATCAAGGGACTGATCGCCCTTCAATGGGGTCTGTGCTGTGGAATCTTGAGTTTGCAGTTCAATTACAGAGCAATCCTGATGGACCAAAAGTGGTGGCAGAGCAGAAGGCTAATGATGCTTATGCTATGCAGGCAACATGGTTGAGGATTGAAGGGATGAGTGAAGTAGACAAGGAGTCAGAACAAAGCGCGAATGCAATCTTCTCTCAGATAGTGATACCATAGGGGAGATAAGGCAAGGTATGCCATTCTTAATTTAAAAATATTGTGCATTCGCACTAACTTGTCCCATTTAATTATTCGGGTGCATTTTATTTTTGGATTCTTATCAAGAGTTAATCAATTTAATCCGCGGATTTCATTTTGTTTTCTTGTCCTGTAGAGAATTATCACTCATCAAGATGGTACTAGTACTAATAATCTGAACTTCAAGATGGTACTAATACTAATGCTAATTTCAGTTGGAAACCAATACTCTTGAACTTCCCACTACATATTTATGAACAAACTCTTCAAGATTAATTTTCAACCCGTTTAATAAATGAATTGGAATAGGTTGAATCTATATTTTCCGGAAGGAAAAAAAAAATCATAACACACACCATGGCTCTGCCATGCCAACGATAATATCACCACCACCGCTGCCACCACCGACCACCATTGCTGCCACTACCACCACACAGCTGCAGCCATCCATCACTTTGGTTTTTTTATTGGACTTGATCTCTCAGATTTTGATCATGGTGTGCCCCATGTGGGTTTCTTGAATTTGCATTCAACTCAGCAAAACTTAGCAGACTTGAATGCAATGGAGTACATGAAAGAATTTGAGTAAGTGAATCTTATTATCTGACTGGTCTTCAAAGGCCTTCCTCCATTCACTAAGCAATCATCGTAAGATAGCCTCTTGAACATTCTTGGGTTGACAATGCTTGCAGAGGCAAACCAACCACAGTGAAGGTGAATGTTGGAAGGAACACAACCAGAGACACAAGTGTTCACAATTTGAACTATAAATTTTGGTATCCCAGATGATGAATATCTGCTTTGAGAAATGCTTATATCTCTGTTTGTGCATGTATCTGAGGAATGCAAAGCACAGAAAACTTTTACAATTATTTCACTACTTATAACTTGATAATTAAGCCGGTCAACGGATCGGGTTTGGATCGGATTCTGATCGATTTGAATTCGAATTCGACGGATTTTACTTTGGTGGTTCATATCCGAATTTATTAACACTCCAAAAATCCAACCTGATCCGAATAACTAAATTTTAACAAATTCTACATGCATAAAATTCAACTAATTTTCTTTAAATAATCACTTAATTTTTTTAAAATTTATATAAAAATATATAAATAATTTGGGTTGAATATATGTATATTCAAATCCGAATTGGGTCAGATATATGTATATCCAAATGTGAATCGGTGAAATATAAGATATCGGGTATGAATTATCAGTAAAAAATATTAATCCATATCCGCTAATCGGATTGGATTTGAATCATAATTCGATCTATTGATAATTATTAATAAATGAAGCAAATTAAAATTATGCCTCATTTTGTTCTATCAAATATTGAGTTTCTCACATTGTGTCTTGAACTATTTAAATTGGTTTTGTACTCCCTAAAAATCATATATCCGTTATGTTTTGGACAAAAATGTACGCGATGTATAACTGGTAACGAGAAAAATATAGGTGTAATTAACAACTGCAATAGTTATGAGGACAGCGCGAAACAAATAACTATAATCAAAGGTGCAACATGAGAAATGTCAAGGTTGAGGGGGTAAGGTAAGACATGGGCACGGTTAGGAGGTCAAAGTATAAATTGCCCAGAAAATATATTATGTAGGAATTTTACCATGTACCAAAAGTTTCCTGTGGTTAAAGTGTGCCTCTTCTGGTCTGATTGTTGTGATACTGGATTCATTTCCACGGGCTGAAAGCATACACTTGTCTGATAAATCTGTCAAAATGAAAAAGAAACCACATTAAGAGTGTTGCTTTTTTTTTTTTTTTTATTTTAATGGAAAGGAAGTAAGAAATGAGGTCCAACAGATTGGAAAAGTTATACAAAAAGAGGAGTGAGTACCTGAATGGAGTCCATTGCTGTTGAGTAGAATTAAAACCAACATCAAGTAGAAGAAGAAAACATGTACATAACTCATGATGGCTTTGAAGAAAATTGTTATATGGGTTTGCTGGTTTGATTTCTCATCAAGCTGGTTGTTGAGAGAGAGAGAGAGAGAGAGAAGGGGGAATGAATGTGTAGGAAAAACTCACATGTGAGCTGAAGGGGAATTCCACATCTAGTGGGGAAGAAAATAATAGAATTTATATATAAAACAAAGTAATGCTGTGAGATCTTTCCTGACATAATGATATGATAAGTGATAGAGTCCTAATAAAAAAGTGTATCGATTACCGCCATCACAACACTGTTGGGCACATTATTAAATTAATTTTTTAAATTCAAATAATATTACTTATAAAATAAAATTATTTTAAAATTGAGTTTCAATTTTTTTTTATTCAATGATTAGAATATTTGAACTAATTTATGTACACTTCGATTAATTCTTTTAATTTGAATCAATCACCTATACATTAGTCCATATTCCAACATAATGATCTCAAAAAAAAAAGATTCCAACATAATGAAATTGAAGAATTCCCTTGGCTTTAGATTTTGAAGGTCTTGTAGCATCACCATTCCTTGTACGTCCATGTTGATCTATAAGTATCCATTGAATTTGAACAATTCGTTGGTCCAAAAAGCAAAGCAGACATCATATCCCTTTCTATTTTCCACGATCAACTCATATATATTCTTTCTTATTTGCATGCACCAAAATCTCTCTCCCTCTCTTCATATATATTGTCTTGTGATACCTCGTGTTTAAAGATATTATATAATATTAAAAATAACATACTACTCTACAATATTTATATTTTAAATAATAATTTTATTTTTTTAATTATATAATTTAAAATTAAAATCAAGAGAGAAAACAAATAGGTATAGATTGATGTGATTATTTGATATAAAAAATGTATTCATGTGTTGATTAAATTGTTTAATATTGAGGACCATGCAAAGAAGATAGTATTTTTGAGAGGAAAAAAAATTTAAGATGAATTTTATATTATTATATCAAACTAGATAAAACTTAAATCAATATTGATTATTATTTTATTTTTATAAATTAAAAATCCTGCTTGTTGCAATATCTATAATATAAAATAGGAAAAATTTCAACCACACCCCCTCTAATTTATCATATCTTTAATAACACCCCTTCTATTTTCTGAATCTTCACTGACACCCACTATCAGATTAAAAATATTAATTAGAATGCAATTTTACTAAATTGCCCATGATATATTTGAGAACAAACTTCATCCACACCCCCTCTAAATAAACATATCTTCAATGAGACACCCTCTATTTTTTAATTTTTTTACGTATTAAAATTAGAGCCGATTAAAATTTGATTCAAGTTAATTAAAATTAATTTTTTTATATATTAAAATTTGAGCCGATTAGAATTTATATTTTTATTAAAATTTGGATTAATTAAAATTCTATTTGAGCCAATTAAAAATTATTTTTAATCGACTCAAATCAAATTTTAATCAATTCGTATTGAATTTCAATCGGCCCAAATTTTAGTACATAAAAAATATAAATTTTAATTGATTCAAATTTTAATAAATCAAATATTAATTGACACAAATTTTANGATTCGTATTGAATTTCAATTAGCCCAAATTTTAGTACATAAAAAATATAAATTTTAATTGATTCAAATTTTAATAAATCAAATATTAATTGACACAAATTTTAATAAGTAAAAAAATATAAATTTTAATCGACTTGAAAGCAAATTTTTATCAGCGCTAACAACTCAGTTAAGTTCAAATTAGCTCAAATTTTAATACGTAAAAAATAAATTTTAATAGGCTCAAATTTTAATACGTTGAAAAAAATAAAATTTAGTCAACTTCAATCGAATTTTAATTGGATCAAATTTTAATATGTAGAAAAATAAATTTTAATATAAACTAGAAGGGGTATAAATGATATTTTTGATAATAGAAGGGGTGTCTTTGAAGATATAATAAATTATGAGGGATGTGATTGAAATTTTTCTTATAAAAATGTGACATGTTTCAATAAACTCATCCGACAGTCTCAAATAGATTTATTCAATAGTTACAAACATCATTTTTAAAATCATTCATCATTTCTTACTTACCTCATAATTTTATTAAATTTATATTATATTGTATTTTCAGACACGAACGAATTAACTTTATGTAGCTAAATATGGACAGTCAGATAACAGCATCTTTGCGAAGGCCAAAGGTCTTAGCTGTACCAGAACGTTGCAGGAAAGTGAATAGCTGAAAAAACCTACTAAAACAGCAACTTGAATAGTTTCTATCACCAGAAGTGCAAAGATTTCTATTTATGCCAATGCCTATGTCTACACAACAATTCCCCAAAACCTCAAAGTCTCCACCCATGAACCCCTAAGAGAAAGGGAATTTTTTAGCTGCATTTTTTCGTAGTGTATTGAAAGTATAATCAAATTAGGTTAGGAACAATGTTATATAGACTTAAAAAATATACTAAAAAATTAAATTTAATAATTACAACTATTAATTTTACTGTGGGTTCTAATATTTATTGGGACCCACTTTTTATTCAATGATTGAAATTATTAAGTTTAAGTTTAGTTTTTAAGTCTATCTAACATTACTCATTAAATTAACGCTTTATACAAGTTAATTGCAATTAAATGAAATTATTTTAGAATCGAGAAGAAATTAGGATGATCTCTCTTCTAAAAAATATTATATAAAATTATTGAATCTATTAAAGATAACTTTAACCTCACAATAATGGTAAAAAAAAATATAGAAAAGTCCAAATATAGTACCAAAAACTGGTTTTTTGATACTAAAAAATTATTTATTTATCCAATAAAAATAAGACACGTGTAAAATTAACTCATTTTACGATAAACAATTACAAAAGGAAGGTTAGTTGGAGAGAGAGAGACAGAGAATCAGGCCATCATCAGCTGCATGTCTGAACAAGCAAGTGAAGGAAGACGAGAGTTGCAGGCTTAGTAATGTTAAATAAGGGTAAGACTACGACGATATTGCAGAGTGACCAAAGCGGAAATCATCCATCCAATCAAGCCTACTTAAAGTTGTAAGAGGGGGTCTATAAATTGTTGAGCTGTATCGTGGTTATTACGCACGGGAGGTCGAACCCACCAAGGTCAGACTATAAAAACATTAATCTAAACCTCCTCCCATGCTGTTTCTTTTATAAATTATCAGCCATAAGCAAATCATTGATACCAAATATATCCTTATCATATGACCTAACTACTTTACTTACTCCNATATAGAAAAGTCCAAATATAGTACCAAAAACTGGTTTTTTGATACCAAAAAATTATTTATTTATCCAATAAAAATAAGACACGTGTAAAATTAACTCATTTTACGATAAACAATTACAAAAGAAAGGTTAGTTGGAGAGAGAGAGACAGAGAATCAGGCCATCAGCTGCATGTCTGAACAAGCAAGTGAAGGAAGACGAGAGTTGCAGGCTTAGTAATGTTAAATAAGGGTAAGACGACGACGATATTGCAGAGTGACCAAAGCGGAAATCATCCATTCAATCAAGCCTACTTAAAGTTGTAAGAGGGGGTCTATAAATTGTTGAGCTGTATCGTGGTTATTACGCAGGGGAGGTCGAACCCACCAATGTCAGACTATAAAAACATTAATCTAAACCTCCTCCCATGCTGTTTCTTTTATAAATTATCAGTCATAAACAAATCATTGATACCAAATATATCCTTATCATATGACCTAACTACTTTACTTACTCCCTTGACTTCATTTTTGGACCTTTGTCACAATTATACCATCTATTATAGTTCGTCTCCGAAATTTGTCTCTGAACTTTTAATTATCTCAATTCAGTCTCTTAATTATTAATTTTATCTTAATTAAGTCTCTTTGTCCATTTTTACCATTAGATCAATGCTGAAATGGATCAGGTTGAGCTAGTGTCCGATTGATCTAACGATGAAAATTTGATTAANGCTTTCATTTGATCTCTGAACTTTTAATTATCTCAATTCAATCTCTTAATTATTAATTTTATCTTAATTAAGTCTCTTTGTCCATTTTTACCATTAGATCAATGCTGAAATGGATCAGGTTGAGCTAGTGTCCGATTGATCTAACGATGAAAATTTGATTAACGAACTTAATTGAAAAAAAATTGATAGTTGAGAGATTGAATTATGACAATTAAAAATTCAGATACCAAATTGAAACCCAGGAAAAGTTAAGGGACTAATTATGACATTTATCCTAAAAATAGCATACAACACTAATGGGACGGCATAGATCATCGAACCATGTTTACTTTTGCCAAATTATTTTTTATACCCTTCTAGTTTACACCTAATTTGAACTTGGTCACTAAACTATCAATTAGAACAATTTACTTTCTAAACCTCAATGTCATATTTCAATTAAGTCCCTTGTTCAAATCCGTCAATAATTCTAAAAGAAAAATGTTGCGTGAGCTTCGCTTGCACCAATTTGGGATTAATTTTAGTAAGTAGATCCTGATGTTAAATAGTGTCTTCAAAAATGCATGTATCAACTCAATTGTTGTGNATATTTCAATTAAGTCCCTTGTTCAAATCCGTCAATAATTCTAAAAGAAAAATGTTGCGTGAGCTTCGCTTGCACCAATTTGGGATTAATTTTAGTAAGTAGATCCTGATGTTAAATAGTGTCTTCAAAAATGCATGTATCAACTCAATTGTTGTGGATTGCATGTGTTAGCTCATGTTTTGTAGGTTTAACTGACGTGTGTGTGACTGTGGCTCGTGGCATCCATATGATGCATTGTTGTTATAATTCCNAAAACAGCAACTTGAATAGTTTCTATCACCAGAAGTGCAAAGATTTCTATTTATGCCAATGCCTATGTCTACACAACAATTCCCCAAAACCTCAAAGTCTCCACCCATTAACCCCTAAGAGAAAGGGAATTTTTTAGCTGCATTTTTTCGTAGTGTATTGAAAGTATAATCCAATTAGGAACAATGTTATATAGACTTAAAAAATATACTAAAAAATTAAATTTAATAATTACAACTATTAATTTTACTGTGGGTTCTAATATTTATTGGGACCCACTTTTTATTCAATGATTGAAATTATTAAGTTTAAGTTTAGTTTTTAAGTCTATCTAACATTACTCATTAAATTAACGCTTTATACAAGTTAATTGCAATTAAATGAAATTATTTTAGAATCGAGAAGAAATTAGGATGATCTCTCTTCTAAAAAATATTATATAAAATTATTGAATCTCATAAAGATAACTTTAACCTCACAATAATGGTAAAAAAAAATATAGAAAAGTCCAAATATAGTACCAAAAACTGGTTTTTTGATACTAAAAAATTATTTATTTATCCAATAAAAATAAGACACGTGTAAAATTAACTCATTTTACGATAAACAATTACAAAAGGAAGGTTAGTTGGAGAGAGAGAGACAGAGAATCAGGCCATCAGCTGCATGTCTGAACAAGCAAGTGAAGGAAGACGAGAGTTGCAGGCTTAGTAATGTTAAATAAGGGTAAGACGACGACGATATTGCAGAGTGACCAAAGCGGAAATCATCCATTCAATCAAGCCTACTTAAAGTTGTAAGAGGGGGTCTATAAATTGTTGAGCTGTATCGTGGTTATTACGCAGGGGAGGTCGAACCCACCAATGTCAGACTATAAAAACATTAATCTAAACCTCCTCCCATGCTGTTTCTTTTATAAATTATCAGTCATAAACAAATCATTGATACCAAATATATCCTTATCATATGACCTAACTACTTTACTTACTCCCTTGACTTCATTTTTGGACCTTTGTCACAATTATACCATCTATTATAGTTCGTCTCCGAAATTTGTCTCTGAACTTTTAATTATCTCAATTCAGTCTCTTAATTATTAATTTTATCTTAATTAAGTCTCTTTGTCCATTTTTACCATTAGATCAATGCTGAAATGGATCAGGTTGAGCTAGTGTCCGATTGATCTAACGATGAAAATTTGATTAACGAACTTAATTGAAAAAAAATTGATAGTTGAGAGATTGAATTATGACAATTAAAAATTCAGATACCAAATTGAAACCCAGGAAAAGTTAAGGGACTAATTATGACATTTATCCTAAAAATAGCATACAACACTAATGGGACGGCATAGATCATCGAACCATGTTTACTTTTGCCAAATTATTTTTTATACCCTTCTAGTTTACACCTAATTTGAACTTGGTCACTAAACTATCAATTAGAACAATTTACTTTCTAAACCTCAATGTCGTATTTCAATTAAGTCCCTTGTTCAAATCCGTCAATAATTCTAAAAGAAAAATGTTGCGTGAGCATCGCTTGCACCAATTTGGGATTAATTTTAGTAAGTAGATCCTAATGTTATAAATAGTGTCTTCAAAAATGCATGTATCAACTCAATTGTTGTGGATTGCATGTGTTAGCTCATGTTTTGTAGGTTTAACCTACGTGTGTGTGACTGTGGCTCGTGGCATCCATATGATGCATTGTTGTTATAATTCCTTGCGAGTTTGGACAATGGTACTAAATTGAAACGCATCTTCAGTTTGGGATTAAATTTTTAAGAGCAGTATTATTTAGAATTAATTTACTGACTTTATTTGTCGACGAATAACAACAATTGGACTAATAATGTGCCCCAACATCACATAAGAAAATTAAATTAACTAAACTTTGCACACCATCAGTCAAATAAGTAGGATCGAATTGCATAGTTTTATCGAGGTTAACATGAGAAACCCTTCTAGAAGAAGCTTCATAAATTTTCATTTCTTTTCTCATCAAAGTTAGACCTAATTCACTATGAATTCAATGAGTATAATATATTAAATTAACAAATTAGTTTCAAATAGTATTTTTCAATTTTTAATGGATAGTTCAAAAATCAAATAGAAATCAGCTACGAACTTTAGGGGTGTAGAACGTAATTTATCCTCACCTATATGCTACATACCTGGAGAGTGTCATACGTTTAGTACTCAATGGCCTCTCAAACGCAACACCATCTTGCCTCTTTCCTCTTCACGGGCCTTCTTTACACGTTCGTCGATGCCGACTCTGTAAAACCACCCCTTCCTGCTTGCCCTTCGTTCAACTGCGGAAGCCTCACACTCAGCTACCCATTTTGGCAAACAGGTGGTGCTCAACAGTCTGAGTACTGTGGATACCCTACTTTCGGCGTCTCATGCGCCGGTCAAGAACCACAGCTCCACCTCTCCGACCACCTCTACCGTGTTAAACAAATCGATTACTCCGCCAACTGCCTTACCGTCGCCTACTCCGAAGTAAATGGAAGAGCTTGTCCCAAGGCACCCCATGGTTTCACCTTGGATACTTCTTCTTTCTTTAACTACACCACAGATGATAAAATTGTGCGGTTTTTCTATAACTGTTCGTTGTTTCCACCTTCACTTCAAGATATAGAGTGTCTTAGATATGGTGTTAAGCATTCGTATGTGTTCTTGGAGGGGGCGATTCCGGAGTTTGATTGGCAACGGTACTGTGAATCAACAGTGATTGTACCGGTGATTGAGAAGACTGTGGAGGGTGCTCTGGTTGATGGCTTTGGAAGAGCTTTGGAAGATGGGTTCGAGCTGATATGGAAATCGGAAAGTGCGTGTCAATTGTGTGAAGCCTCAGGTGGATATTGTGGGTATAGAAACGGTACTTATCCGAAGTTCTCATGCTTTTGCAGCGATGGACGGCATGTCTCTTACTGTCACAATGACATCGGTGAGTTTTCTCTTCCCTCTCTCTCTCTCTCTCTCTCTCTCTCTCTCTCTCTCTCAGTTGCACAGCCAAAAAAATAAGAAGACAATGGTAAATGGGTAATGGTGGAGTGACAAAAATGATCTCAAAACAAGATCAAATGAAATGTTTCTTATAGATTGAGCAAGATTTAATTTTTAATTAAAACTGTGACCATACCTTGCATGATATATGCATAACAAAACCCTATGAATTCGATTATAAATAAAACATTTGAACACGAATCCAACATTTTCACACACAAAAAAATTGTCAATTTAGTGATTTGGTTTTGTTTATGCTTTACCCATATATAAGGAAATAAGTTTTTGTGTTGATTATAATATCTGCAGGTGAAGTCTCAATCAAGTCTGAACAAAATTTTGTAGCCATCGGTGAGTTTCTCTTACTGAAAAATAAGGGTTTGAAACAACGACCAATACTGCATGAAATTAAAAAATAAATTTGATAATTTCAACTAATGATTTTACTGTAGGTCCCAGTATTTATTGAGACTTATTACCTATTCAATGATTAAAATTATCAAGTCTAATTTTTAAATACATGTAGCATTACTCTTGAAACCACCACTGCTGCCCCGTTAATAGGGAAAAAATATTATGTATCCAAAATCTCTATTCCAAATGAAGGGAGATCATTGGATGAGTGAGTCTCATTAACTTTTTTAAATGGAATTCACTGATTCAATGATCCTCTTTAATTTGAAATAGAGATTTGAGATACATAAGAATGCTCTTAATAGGAAATCCATTGATTATGTGCTTTTTCCTTGCAGGTGTGCTGATTTTGGGTGCTTTAATTATGGCATCAACAGTTTTTTACCTCATCCAGAAAAAGAGAATTGGAGTTCAGAAACATGGTTTTAGTCAGATACCAACTGGTGGAAAATTAGCACAATAAAACCCAAATCATATCCCAAATTTTTCATCCCGACTACATTTGAACCACACAACATATACATGAGCATTTCTGCCGTAAGGCCTGTGACAACACAACGAGGATAACTCTTCGTCTTCTTCATCAGCTGAACTGAGCCTATCAATTGAGAAAAGTTTTTTTCTTTTTCACTTTCTTCGCTTTTATCCCTTGTGGGGCCTTAAAAAAATGGCTTTTTCATTTAATATGTAATTCAAATGTATTTGGGATGAAGAATTTGAGATATAATTTGGGTAACGTAACATTTCTGGTATTCCTATGGACTTCAGCCGTCAGAGAGGCTCTTGGACTGGCACCATGGGGTTTAGGCTTTTTAGTAAAGTCAATCATTAGAACTGTGATATTCTATATTGTGAAAATGTATAATTTCTGAAATTTGTAATGGTGAAAATTTACTTTGGTAGCTTANCTTGGACTGGCACCATGGGGTTTAGGCTTTTTAGTAAAGTCAATCATTAGAACTGTCATATTCTATATTGTGAAAATGTATAATTTCTGAAATTTGTAATGGTGAAAATTTACTTTGGTAGCTTATCTCTTGGCGGCCATAATATTTCCTTTAATTTCTCAAAAGGAAAAAAGTTCTATAAAAAAAGAAACAAAAAAAGTACACTTATAAGGGCAACTCCAATCCTCCTCACCCAATATAATTAATCAAAATATATTTAAAGATTATATTCTCTATTTTAATTAATTATTTCAACTAACTTTCAATAATATAATTCAAAAATATCATGTATCCTAATAATATAATTTAAAATTTTTACAAATACTTACATTAATATTTTATAGAGTCTAAAATTAAATATTTCATTATACAAGGGAATTTTCGGAATTTGAGAGGAGGGGGATCTTCAGAATTTGGGTTTTCAGAGAATGGGGGTTTTCTAGAATTAGGGGAGGGGGGTTTTCAAAATGAGTTTCAGGGGAGGTGGGTTTTGAAATTAGGAGAGACAATTTACAACTTGGGAGTGGTAGATGAAGAAGATTACTAGGACCAACTATTGGAGAAGACGATGATGACAGAGGCGACTAGTTTAGCAAGCTTCTTCTCCTCTCCAAATTTGTGCAAGCATAAGGATCTCCTAAGTTTTAGCTAGTAAAAATAGCAAGCCAATTAAAACAATTTTTTTGAGCAAGCCTCACCAAATTAACTAAAAATAAATATTTAGCTAATATGTTGAAGATGCTCTAAAAACTTAAGGCAAAATGGTTTAATCTAAGCTTCGATTGTCTCAGTCCTATGCATAGGCTATTTGGTTATAGTTTGTCCAAAGGTTTTGAAGCACCGAGTTCTTTTTACAATTTGTTAACCTATTATCTTTTTATCGTCTTTTCAAACTTATTTATCAAACACATTTTATAAAAAATTATTCATCTAAAGGTCGAAGTCAAAATTGAAAATGTTATAATTTCTTTTACATATAATAAAGTCCGTTATGTACTTTTAAAAAAATAAAATTAATTAAAACTCAACATGAAGTTGATGAAATGCAATTAATAATGCATTTGAAGGTCATTAAGAAATTAACTCGCCATACTTATTTTAACAAATAGGTCAACACTATTGAAATGAGAGCTCCCCATCTCGAAATGAGAGCTCATTACCCTAGTTAGGGTTTTTCTTGAGGGTTCTCCTCATTTAATCTTCTTGATTGAACTCACCACCCTTTTAGCTTCCCCAACCAGAGAGAGTCATCGAAAAAAGCACTGTATGAACGATCGCTTCAGCCTCACCCCCATATCTCCTCGTCTTCTATCGATCTTACCTCCTTATCCCTACCCTCTTGTACCTCATCGTTTTCCCCTTCCCTCTTCAACACTTGACCTCCCCTTTTTGTGTCTGCTTTAACCCTATCTATCTTGTTCTACAAGCCCTTTAAGTCCCTTCTTCCCTCAATGCCTTTCTTATCTTATCTAAGCCAAAACCCTCGGCCTCCTNCCCCTTTTTGTGTCTGCTTTAACCCTATCTATCTTGTTCTACAAGCCCTTTAAGTCTTTTCTTCCCTCGATGCCTTTCTTATCTTATCTAAGCCAAAACCCTCGGCCTCTTTCACTCTTTATCAGCATCCCCCCAGATTTTGCTTTTGGTAGTTCTTCTACCATCTATTCCTATCCAGTACAAACCTTTTTCATCCTAGTTTTGTTCAATGGAGAAGAATACAAAAGCCGAGTGTCACTCCATCCACCCTCATCGCATCTCCCTTTATATGAACCCATCCACCTCAAGGAATGTTGAGAAATTTTGTTTAGTGGGCTATTTCTTCATAGACATAAACCTAAATAGGCAGGGTGTGTGCAATGTCTTACAAAGCTCGTGGAAAACGTCTAAGGGCTTCTCAATCACCTATTGGGAAAGGAATACGTATATGTTCATGTTCAAGGAGGAGGTAGACAGAGACAAAATCCTAAATGAAGGCCCTTGGTCGATTTTGGGAGCTCTGTTAGTGTTGAAGACGTATCATGCACAGAGCATCATTAATAATTTTGAGCTCTAGTTGACTGAGTTTTGGGTACAAGTCTGTGGACTACCCTTGGACATGATTACTAAGAACAATGTCTGGAGAATAGGTATGGTCATTGGCGAACCAACCCAGCTGGAGGAGTTTAATGGTGAAACCCAAATCCGACGTAATTTTCTAACGGTAAAATATAGAATCAATTGGAATAATCCTTTGAAGAAGGGTTTTTTCTTGAATCGCGACATCCAGGATGACATCTAGATCAATTTGAAGTACGAGAAACTCCCTAATTTTTGTTACCAATGCGGTAAAATTGGTCATTCCAAGTGCTAGTGCAAGGAAAAACACATATGGGGTTCTAATGGCCATTTTGGCCTAGAATTGCAAGCACAGAGTTGCCAGTCCTCGGGCTTTTTAAGGGAAACCTGGTCCCTAAAAGCAATGGAGAATATGGAAAGACGAGAGAAATTCAAAGGGAAGATACGGACAACCGGTGAAGATGACTAGTCGGTGATGGATGAGAGCTCAGAAAGCAGCATAATACTAACCGAAAAAATCCCTGACACCCACAACGGCCACAGTGAGGATGTGTCATTACTCCAAGGCTCTAACGTTGTACATAATATGCAGAATCAGAATAATGGAATCCACCACCGCGCCTCACCTCTTGTAGTGGTGCCGTTAACTAGTAGGGACCAAGAATGGGATCTGAGCTTTTCTCTCTCCTTCACTGGATCCCAGGAAGACCCACACACCTTGGTTGCAGTTAAAAAAGGGGATTATTATGTTTGTGAGCCCACAGAGAGTATGAAAGCCTAAGAATCGAAAGGAAAGGAAATCTACATAATCTTTGATAGTGGGGATGAGGAGAGGGGTGATGATATGAAAACTCACTTTCAAACATGTCGCTAAAGAGGAAAGCCCAAATAGACTATTCTGAATTGGAGGCCCACCCCATTAATGAGGAAAAAGAACAAGGCTAATTCAGATATTGGGCTAGGTATTATTCCACCTGTTCTCCCCCATCTTGGGCATCCAATGGATCTCCGTCTCTCCCTTTCAGACTTTGGGGAAAAACGGGTATCCAAGAACCAATCTAGGAGGACTAAAGCAATGAAGAATAGGGGACCAAAATTAAGGAGAAAATGGAGGAACAACAAGCACATGCCCAAGGAGGGGTGGTGGATGTTAAGAAGGAAGGTGGAGGTGAAAACAATCTCAATCAATGCATAACTCAGTGGATATCTCAATCCTCCAGTGGAAGGCCAGATAAAAGAATCTCAGGTGATCCTTCAGAAAAGGTGATGGTGGTTGACCTTAAACAACCACAAGATCTATGTTAGTCCTCACCTGGAACTGTCAAGGAGTGGGACGATCTCGGATAGTTCACAACTTAGGAGGTCTCATTGACACCCATCGTCCCTCAATCGTCTTCCTTATGGAGACTAAAAACAAGTCTCATAAGTTGGAATGGTTGAGAAGATCGTTGAACTTTCATTCCTTTGATTATGTGGATCATGTGGGGCTATCTGGTGGTTTGGCTCTCTGATGGAAAGATGAGGTTAATTTTCAAGTAATCAAAAAGAACAAGAACATGATCAATGTGAGGTGCAACCTTCTACACCACCTAGAGTTGTGGCAGTGTTCATTCATCTATGTTGATACAAAGTATGAATTCAGGAGGAGGACATGGAAAAAACTAAANCCTAGAGTTGTGGCAGTGTTCATTCATCTATGTTGATACAAAGTATGAATTCAGGAAGAGGACATANCAATGTGAGGTGCAACCTTCTACACCACCTAGAGTTGTGGCAGTGTTCATTCATCTATGTTGATACAAAGTATGAATTCAGGAGGAGGACATGGAAAAAACTAAAGTTGATGACTCGTTCTATTGATATGCCTTGGTTGGTTGCTGAGGATTTTAATGTCATTGGGTCTTTGGGAGAGAAAGAAGGGGGGACTGCTGGCAGCATTAAGTGAGTTGAAGAACTGCAACAACACATTTATGATTGTTGCCTTATGGAGCTAAATTTCAGTGAACCTAGATTTACCTGGTCGAACAATAGACCAGGGACTGCCAATGTCCATGAATGTCTAGATAGGGTCTTGGTAAATCTTGAGTGGAGTATTCACTTTTCCTATCACACATGTGATTCATGAAGCAAGAATGGGCTCTGATCACTACCCTGTTGCGNCCTAGATTTACCTGGTCGAACAATAGACCAGGGACTGCCAATGTCCATGAATGTCTTGATAGGGTCTTGGTAAATCTTGAGTGGAGTATTCGCTTTTCCTATCACACATGTGATTCATAAAGCAAGAATGGGCTTTGATCACTACCCTGTTGCGATTGATCTCAGTTTAAAGACTAAGAAGGCCCCATATTATTTTACGTTTAAAAGTATGTGGCTGGTTAATCCCGAATGTGAAGAGGTGATTAAGAACAACTGGACCTACAGACACTCATACTCTGCAATATCGAATGCTATCATAAACCTAGATATGTGCAGAAAACGTTTGTCAGAATGGAGTTGACAGAAATTTGGGAACAACAAGAAAATCATTCAGGAGTTGGGAAAGGAGTTAATTCAGGTCCAAAAACAGGAACCATTTGAAGAAAATTTGTTAAGAGAAGTAGAGCTTTGCTCCCAGATTGACGCTTAAAGATGTAGAGAGTAGAAGTTTTGGATGCAACGGTCCAAAATCAATTGGCTGAAAGAGGGAGATCAGAACACCGAGTTTTTTCACATGACCATAATTCAAAGGAGGAACCATAATCAGATACTGAGGCTTAAATCGAATGGCGATGATAGGATTGAGAGTGAGGAGGATATTAAGGCCCACATTACCGACTACTTTAAAAACCTGTTCAAAATAGTGGGGGAGAGGAATTGGTCCGAAGAGCTAAATGCAGTGGATAGTAGGGTCACTTCGGAGATGAATCTTGAATTACTAAGATCAATCTCTGAGGCAGAGGTGCAAGACGCTGTAAGGGAGTTAGGTGCCCTCAAGGCTCCAAGACCAGATGGATTCCCTAGAATCATCTTCCATAGGTTTTGGTATATTGTGGGGCAAGATGTTTTTCAACTGGTTAAGGACTTCTTTGAGGAGGGCTTGATGAATAAGGATCTCAACCAAACTAACGTGGTTCTCATCCCCAAGGAAGCAACCCCAGAATATATCTTTCAGCTCATGCCCATCGTCTTTTGTAATTTCATGTATAAGATCATTTCAAAGGTGTTGGCAAATAGGATGAACGATATGATTGGCTCTCTAATCTCTCCAAACCAGGTTGCCTTTGTCCCTAACAGGTAAATTCAGGATAGTATAGCTATTACAAACGAATTATTTCACCACCTTAAAGGCAAAAAGAGAGGCAGGATCCTTGAACTGATTGTAAAGATGGATATTAGTAAGGCCTATGACAGGGTTGAACGAAATTATTTGGAAGCAACAATGATCCAGATGGGCTTTGATAGGCGTTGGGTGGGGCTGACAATGCAGTGTGTTAGCACAGTGACTTTACAGTTTGTCTTGAACGGGGGAAAAATCTATAAATTTTGTCCATAAAGGGATATTAGATAGGGCGATCCATTATCCTCGTATTTGTTTATTTTTGTGGCGGACGTACTCTCAGCTATGCTATTGAAAGGAGTTGCAGAAAGAA